ACGGCGGGGGAAGGGTGTAAATGGCCATTGTCAAACAGCACCAGGGGCGTAGCCAGAAAAAAATTTCGGGGGGGGGCCCCAAAAAATTTTTCCGAAAAACTCAAAAAATTAAGGCGAAAACAGCGCCGCAGGCGAAAAATTTTGGAAAAAGGGTTGCATAGCTCGACAAATAGCAGTAAAAACGTGTAAAAATAGCGCCGCAGGCAGCAAAATTTTTGAGAAAATAAAAATCATAAGGGTCCCCCCTTATGAAATTTTCGGGCCCCCGCCGATTTCGGGGGGGGCCCCGGGCCCAGGGGGCCCACCTTACGCTACGTCCCTGAACAGCACTCATAAAATTTCATGTTATTCCTTTTCTTGACATGGCCGTCGCGATGGCGCCGCCAGCTGATTGGCCCATCAAAAATTTGGCGGGCCGCGAGGAAAAATTTGATGTTTCGGAAAATTTTAAAGGCAAATCGGCGCTTACCATGTTTATTCAAAAATTCAGCTTGGCTTCACCAGTATTTTTGTTGTTTTCGGGAATTTTCTTCGATTTTGGTGCAAAATTCAGTTAAAAATTGCAATGATTTAGGGTTGCGAAAAGCATTTAACTCCCCTTACTTTTCACGCACTTACCATTTACTTTTCCCGCCTGGTGATTTAAAACGCTGCAAAACTTTAATGGTATTTCTCGAATTAGGATTCATCAAATTTTCAAAAGAGCGCTGATGATTTTTGTTGATTTACTTTATGGTGATTTACCTTAGATTTATGGAAACAAAATACTGGGTGTCCCAAAAAAAAAAGCACCCCCCTCTAGCGGTCCGTGGGAAGCTCAGATCAGGATGATTTTTATACCATTCGAACGCCCGCGAAAAGGCGAGAAAACAAGCGGGCTTCATTTTCTAAACTTTATTCTTGTTCGTCCGAGATTCAGCGTTTTTCTAAAAAAACGGGTAGCTTTTCAATAGGAATCTCGCAATTAGCATGCGGATCTCGCGTAAATCTGCCGTTTTCATGGATTTTGGAGGTAAAATTCGCCAATAAAAATACATAACAAAGACAATGAACCCTCCTTGTTTTCTCGAGAGCTTTCGATAGATACCTAAACGGCGAAAATCGGACACGTTTGCGCGCCGCTAGAGGGGGGTGCTTTTTTTTTGGGACACCCTGTAGATGATTTGATTCGTAAAATATTTGTTGCATCACCGAAAATCTATATTTCAAATTTGTGTTAGAAATGCCTCCAAATAACCCGCTTTCCATTCAAATTTAATGTTTCCAAAAAATCTCAGAATTTTCACTTCGGCAACCAATCAATAATGGGAAGTAGAGAATTTTTTTAGCCCGATTTTAAATTTTTTTCGGTGTTTAATAATCCTCGTTTTTCTGAGATTATAACGGTTAAGGTATTTTCTCTTTGGGTAGCGACAATGGGACTATTGACACTATTTAAAGGATTCTTAAAACCGCCGTTCGAGTCTGCGGTTTACCAAATTTATTTTGAAAAATCCGGTTTCGAAAAATCCCTTATTCCAATGACGTAAAGTCATCATAATGCATGGTACGTCTGACTGAGTTGCTATTTATAAAAGCCGGTTTACAAAACGCATTTTTTATGACATCAATAAGGATATATTTCTATTGAATTAGGCTACCTAAATAAGTGTTAAATTTCAATGCGCAGATGTTACCGACTTTCGAATTATGAAATATAATTTTCCAGGATCTTGGCGAAATTTGAAACATTTTTTGAACAATATCCTCGCTTGGCCGGTTATAATGTCCATTTACGGTATTATACCTGAATTCTTATAAACTTAATGTTTTGATTCAGAAGTTAATATTGCATAAACTATAACTATGCTACTATAATAATGGCGATTTTTCAACTAGCAACAAAACGCGAATTAGATGAAATCGTGTTTTTCCGTATCTTAACTCGAGATGCAACATACTTTTTTTATGAAAATACCCACGCGGATACGGTATTTTAATGGCTTCCCAACTTTCGAGATGATTTTCCTTTCGATTCCTCTATCTGTTTGCCCGTCGAATTTACCCCCGCCTCCTTAGGGCCCAATTAGGGCCCGACAGAAAGCGATGCCGGCGTGAAACTTCCGCCAGTTTTTCGTGTGGATTTTTGATGATTCGCGTTTTCACGCTCTAGATTGCAAAATCAATGGTTATAGGTTTTTGTCGTGAAAAAAATTAACTCATCGAAGCTTTTTGGATTTGATCAATATTTGAAACCTACATTTTTAGTACCTGAATTTTTCAGGAACGCGTCTAGCTTTATTATTTTAATTTAATTTAGTTCAATTTATCTCTATTAGTTGATTCTATTATTTAATTCTATTTATTAATAATCCATAATTCTAAATAAGATTTATCCGATTTATCCGTCCAAGAATTGAGTGTGAGTGTGTGTTTCAATGTTTTTCGTATTTTCTGAATTTCTGTAACACATATTTCCGACAAAATATGCACTGGCAATTTTGTAAAAGATTGATGGCAATACGTTGAATATTTTTATATTTTTTTGAGCTGTTAAGATATGCTTTGCATACTTTAAATGTTTCATGGCGGTAAGCGTCGTCATCTCCAGATTCTGGCGAATTCTGATGACCTGGAAGCGGGTGACAGGAACGGCCGGCCAAAAAACCGGGTCCCGCCACGCTCTCCCTATCTCTCTCTCTCTCTCTCTCTCTCTCTCTCTCTCTCTCTCTCTCTCTCTCTCTCTCTCTCGCTTCTAATTACCCCAACTAGAAACCCGCTTACTGACACACAATCTATGGGGGTTAAGGGAGCGTCATTTCCGGTATGACAGCGAAACTACGAACTACAGACGGCTGGCCTAACGGTTCTTTTGCATTATCGAGGGGCGAGCAACTTTTTAAGAATCTAACTTTTTTAATATAAAAAGAGGAAGCGTTACAATATTTTTTTACTATTCCTAAACGCAAAAAGTTTACAAAATTTTATTAAAAAAATACAAAAATATTGATTTTTCAACCAAAATTTCGAAAAACTTCGAAATTTGCGAATTTTTTTGATTGTCTTTTCAATTTAAAAAAACGCCGCGATTTTTCTGACTACAAAAAATACAAAATTTTCTGATAATTTATTAGAAATTTGTAACCCTATGGAAAAAATTTATTTGCTGTCATAATTTCGAAAGTTCATATTGGCGAAATTTGAGGATGTTGACATTTTTTGTATAGGATGCGAGAGGTTTTCTGGGAAAATTAGCGTACGTAAATTTCGAAATTTCTAACTTGGCATTCTGAAATTTCGATATTATGAATTTGGACATTAAATTTTTCCGGATTTTGAAACAAAACCTGAAAAATTAGCCCCCCTCCCGCAAATGCACAAGACGCTTAACAAAAAGTATAAAAGCTATGTAAACACGCGTTTCTGGCGCCAATCATTTCGCGACCCGGCTGCCCGATTTTCCCATGCGGTCTCACCATTCGCCCTACGGGGGCGAGACGACCCCTTTTTTGTCGTGCTCTGTGTGTGTTGGATTTACGGTTAGGGGTGGAAGGGGAGGGAGGGAGGGCAGGAGGGTGTACAAAGGAATCGCGCGGAATCACGGCTTCTCTGTGGATTTTGTCACACGTTTTTTGGAGCATTTTGAGGGATGTGTTTCATGAAACATTGAAAAGGACTTGTTTTTATCGTAATATCTCTCATCCTATCTCTCTCTCTCGTTCTCTCTCTCACTCTCTCTCCCTCACACGCTCTCTCTCTAGTTTTCATTTTATATCTATCGCTCACTCGCTCTCTCTCCCTTACCCTCGCTCTCCGTTTCACTCCCTATCTCACGCTCTCTCTCGCTCTCTCTCTTTTTCTCTCTCTCGCTTTCTCGCTCTCTCTCTCTCACTCTCTCGCTCGCTCCACCCCGAATTTTTGGAATATTTGCGGAGCGTCAGTTTCTGAATGGAATATTTTTGTATCGCACCAAAATCGAGCGAGAGAGAGAGAGACAGCCCTTTTTGAATGGTGTTGAATGGATCATCCGCTTCACACATCGCCTCCTTTCCCTCCGCCCTTTTTTGTGCCACTACACACCCCGCTTTTTGTGTGTCCACGTCCGGTTGAATCCACGAAAAACTCTGTTTTTCATTTTTATGTTAATAAGAATTAAAATTCAGACCTTAAATGGGTGTTTTTATCTTGTTGCTTAAGATCTTTTTAATTGGATTCAACACGATTGAAACCAGGGATTGCTTTATCAAAATTTCTGTAATCTTCAAATTTTATGAAACATTTTTTTCGCAATCCAAAATGGATTTTTTATATCCGTTTTTTCTGGTATTTCCATGCTTCATTAAATGGTACTAGAAAATTTCATTGGATAGTTTCTTATTTGCTGGTTTAACTGATCGTGGCCAAATTTTTATGCGCCATTATATATGAAACTGATTTTTTTTAATCGCTAATGTCAAGAACGCATTATACGAGTGTTTTGTTGAGGTACCTCAGACTTATGTGAAACACTTTTTCCGACCAAAAAGTTTAACTGAGTGAATTTTTAATTGTTCTGATTTTCCCAATACTACGCTTGGTACATGAGCGTAGTGTAACGGAACGGAGGCTCTAAATATTACGGGCTTTCTTGTGGGCCCCGCCGCGACATATGCACTCCCCCATCCCGTGTAATATGACCATCAAATCGGCTTGCCGGCGACCCGTAATTTCCATATTTCGGCCCAATTTTACATATTATTGAAAGTTTAATTCTAGTATCCTAGTAGACGTCAAATTTATCGACATTCCCAACGCCGTCAATTTGGAATTTTAATAAATCAAGTTAGAAATATATAATTCTTTCCTTTAAAATTTGACTTGAATTGTGGCTTAGAAAGAGATTTCTGCTAGATTACGGCTAAATATAAATTTTGTACACCAGAACATCATTTAACTGAAATTAAAAACATTGAATTTTTTGGAAATCCCATTTTATACTTTTTACGCTTGACACGATATACGATTAATAATGAAATTAGAGGATGGAGTCCCAAAAAGGATGTAACACATTTTTTCCAAATCCGAAAAAGTTTTCGATTTTTCGCCGTTCGGAGAGGGCAGCAGAGATTGTTTGTGGAAATGGACGGACCCCTAGAGGAGGGCAGGCTAGCAGAGATTGTTTGAGGAAATGGACGGACCCCGAGAAGAGGGCAGGCTAGCAGAGATTGTTTGAGGAAATGGACGGACCCCGAGAAGAGGGCAGGCTAGCAGAGATTGTTTGAGGAAATGGACGGACCCCGAGAGGAGGGCAGGCTAGCAGAGATTGTTTGAGGAAATGGATGGACCCCTAGAGGAGGGCAGGCTAGCAGAGATTGGAGGAGGAAATGGACGGACCCCGAGAGGAGGGCAGGCTAGCAGAAATTCTTTGCCGACTGTCAGTTTGTAGGCTGGCCAACTGTCATTAGTGCAATTCGTAGTCTAACCGCAAGATGTCCCCCCCTCATCTCTCATAGCATTGGGATGAGCGACAGGTGTCCGTTACACGCCTCTAGACACCCTTTCCCCCATCTGAACAGTGATAAAAAGGCTCCCCTCCGTCGCATCGCGTACTAAAAAACCTAAAAAAGCCGTGGCCAGAAAATTTACGACCCGTCAACCCGACTGCCGCCGCTACACCCATAAATCCTCAATCTTAGCGTTGTCGAGCGATTTATCGATTTTTTTTTTTGGGGGTGCAACTTAAGTTAGGTTCAATTGGTTCATTGGCTGCGAGTTTGCGCATTAATAGCTTTCGTTTTTTACATCATAAATCCCGATTGCTGGATTGATCCGATTGCGATCCAGCTGAAAAGCTGAAACACGAAACATTCTGTAGCGACCAATGAAAATATAGTTTGAAAAATAATCATGCTTTCAAAATAACAGCCCCTGTTTTTTCCATTAATTTAGCAATTTTCTGTTTTAGCTTATCCATCCTCCGGTTTTCATGATTTTTCTGGCATTTAGATCTATCCTACCTTATAGAATTTTGGACTGTATCTCTGTGTGTGTGTGTCCGGCCGTCACTTTCGAGGCCCGATTTGAGGGCCTTCCCCGTGGCCAAAATACCCCATTTCTTGGTGACCCGGGGGAATTGGCCCTCCTCTTTCCGATGGCGTTCTCGGAATTTCGGTAACATACAAGTTTACAAAGTTAAAGTCGGTTTTATTCAATTTTGCGGGTCTGGGAGGGCTAATTTGCATAATGTGAAAAAATAGAAATTTCGTCATTCTTGCCAGTTGCACTCGCGAGTGTGGTCGGGGCGGGGGGAAAGGGTCCAAAGGACCCGAGCTATCGGAAAGTCAAATTTTTCATGCAAAGACCGCATTCCAGCGCCCAAGGCCCGCGAAGCGGGTTTTGGGCGCTGGTTACAGATAAATTTTTCGCATTTGTGTTGGTTGAATCTTTACATAAATATGTAAAAAAATTACATAAAGCTTCAATCCTCGCTTTGTGGATGAATTATTATTTTTCGAAGGTGGTTCCTTATTATTTCCCAAATATTCAAAGAAAAATTTCACGGAAAAAATAGCATGTTTCGGGAAATATTTGATAAATTTACGTTGCTGCTGTGTTACTGGAGCAGTCACTTATTGGTAAAAAAATCTGAATATCAATCCCTGCCCAAATTCTTTCTATTTTTTGAGGCAATTCAATTTTTGATTTTTATCGGTAGCAATTTAAGCTCGTTGAAATCTTCACCCCTCCCCCCCCCCCCGCTAACGACTCAGAACCCTGTTGATTTTTATACGTTTTTCACTTCCCGATGGGCCGCCATTGGGAGGGGGTGCTGATGCACTTCCGAGGGCGGGGCAGTCCGGACTTTGACTACCAGGCGCTCCAATGCCGTTTTTAAACTCGAAGGCTCTGGAAAAGCTAAGCCAAGCCTAGGCTTAGATTCATACAAATGAAGTCTAGGCTTAGCATGAGCCAAGCAAGCTTAGCTAGGCTTAGAGGTAAATGAACCCCATTTTGACCTCCTAAGCTAATTTAAAGCTCAATTCAAGCTTAGCTTGAGCTTAAGCTTAAGCCTAAGCCTAAGCCAAGCTCAGGTAAAGCTAAGTTAAGCCCAGACTTAAGCTGAAAATTAAGTAGCTTAAGCGGAGCGTCTCGTAACCCCTTACTATCAATTTCGGACTGCTCCCCCCCCTAACTGCATTAGCACCTGGGGGGGGGGGGTTTCGGGGACAGCTGCCCACCCCCTGCTAATGAATCAGTACCCTTTAACCGTTTTCATACCTTAATTAAGGTAGTACTTTCGAAACCTTTGGTTTTATTGAGCTAACTCGCCGATTATTTCGATGTTTCAGTTTTGAAAAATCTACAGATTAATCGTCGCAGAGCATTATACTATCCATTTTTGCAGATATCTGCGGCGCTGAACTTCGAAGATTTGTACTGTTAATCGTTGGGTGTGCCGTGCAGAGTAGCCGACGGAAACTTTTCATCCACCGTATCCAGAAACTCGACCCACGTGTCCAACAGGGGCTCGCCAGGCAGATCGCCAAGGTAAGCTTCACTAAATGATATGAAATTTTTTTTAATAGGTTTTTAATGGTTTTTAATAGCTAATTAAAAACTTTATTTATTTTTAAATTTTTAAATAGACTAAAAAGTTAAAACAAATCCATTTTTCGTTAGTTTAGGCGACTTTGGCTCTTTTCCATTATCGGGGGGGGGGGTGTCCTACACGCCCAGGAGTGGCAGCGACGCTTGCAAAATTATTACATCTGAAAAAAAAACTATATAAAAATTCAGGAAATTTTGAAATTTTGATCGAAAAATCGATACGTTACAAAGCTAATTTTTATTTTTCCGCCTCGTAAATACCAGTTAATCATATGCAGTGTATTTTTATGGTAATTTTAGTAGGTTTTGACGGCAAGAAAACCGCAAACATTTACAGAATTGTAGGCAATATAAATTTGGCATTTATTGATTCTTTTTGAAACATTTTCCACTAAAAACCGAAAATTTTCATGCATTTTTCGAATTTCTTGTGCACTTTTTATATCGAAAAGCTGTATAAAGTTCTATAAAAATGGTTTATCCTTGGTTAAAGGGAAAAATGGGCTAAAATGCCCTGCTCCCCCCGCCCCCCCGTTAACAGATAAGAACCAAAAAAATCAACTTTCAGCTAACCGCCAGCTCCTCCCAATCGTGCCAATTGGTGTGCCCCCGAGCCTGGGAAGTTCGCGCCGAGATTACGGTAGATTCGGGCGACTACGAAGTACACCAAAAAGACGAAGCCACGCCCCCTTCCCCACCGGCTACTGTAGTACCCCTTCTATTAGTGCTTGTGGAGAGGCTGGCCCTCGAAAGAGACCATTTGGCTGCCGCCCTCCTCGACATGGCCCACGAACATGTAAGCTATTTTTGTAAAATATTTATGATTTTGTAAGGTATTTTTAAGGTAGCGAGCGTCCCTTTTAGTACGCTTTCTGACCGGCAATCTATCCATGTAAAAAGTTATTCTTAAGAGGATCTTGAAGGCTGGTATTTTTGGCGAGGGCACTCTGAGGGGTTCCGCAACTTTTGAAACCGGATTCGGATACAGCGAAAGATTCTGCACAAGATGTGCTATCTGACGTACCGAATTTCAACTTCGACCATATGAGCGTTGCAGTAAGAGTTTTTGTTAGCAACTCGCAAAAAAATTACGAACTCCGCTGGGCCTCGGGGGACTTTAATGTTTCACTGAACAAAGAATCGGGATTTGTTTTTCGATTGTTAATACAGAAATCACACTTTACCTTACCCTCATCCCCCTCGGTGTACGATCATTACTTCTAAAATCATTACTTCTAAAAGTCATTACTTCTAAAAACGTTACTTCTAAAATTTGGTATGCCGGATTACCAGTTTTTCGGCATATTTATGCCCAAAAATACGCTTAGAATTTTAGAAGTAACGACTTTGAGAAGTAATGATTTTAGAAGTAATGACTTTGAGAAGTAATGATTTTAGAAGTAATGATTTTAGAAGTAATGATTTTAGAAGTAATGATGGGTAGCCTAATCTTGAAAATTTGATAGATGCGCTTTTACAAAAAATGCGTGTTACAGGAATCCGATGAGGGCAGCAGCACCACCGGCACCAATTCCCTAAATGGTGACCTGCCGCAAAGGAAGCCGAACGGTTACGGTAGGTATTTTAGTTGTTTAGCTGTTCAGGGGGTGGGCATTTGAAACTAATCTTGCGATTTTCAGACCGTCGCTCCCCATCACCCACGATTCTGGATCGGCATACCAACGTTGAGCTGGCCTCGATTAAGGCCGAGCTACGGAGACTACGTAATGACGCGTAAGTCATTATAAACTTTTGAGCACGATATGGTTGCATCAAAATGTGATCAAAAAGGTTTTTTTACTTCAGACAATCAAGAAAATTTTCGAAAAATTCTGTTTCATGCAAAATCAAATATAAAAGGTTTTAATTATTGGGAATTCAGCTTCTAAAAGATATTTGTAACACATCGCCTCGGTACCAAACGTAATAAAATCAAATATAAATCGAAATTCTTTGATTCTCTCTCACTCTCTCTCTCTTTCTCTCCTCTCTCTCGTTCTCGCACTCTCACTCGCTCACTCGCTTTCTCTCTCTCTCTCTCTCTCTCTCTCTCTCTCTCTCCTCTCGCCCTGTCCTACTCTCTCTCTCTCTCTCTCTCGCTCTCTCACTCTCACTCGCTCACTCGCTTTCTCTCTCCCTCCCTCTCTCTCTCTCTCTCTCTTTCTCTCTCTCGCCCTGTCCTACTCTCTCTCTCTCTCTCTCTCTCTCTCTCTCTCACCCTCCTCTACTGGTTAGAGATGACCCGATAGATAAGATGAAGGCCATTTTTGCGGTGGGAGTCTATTGTTCCGCTAATCAACGTCTTCATCATTATTAACTCTAGCTATCTGCTTAAAATTCTTGTGTTCCGTTATTTATGCTAATTTTATGCTACTAAATTGAGCTAAATGAATAGGTAATCAATATAACCCAGAAACATTTTCTAAAAGTGTTGGAAATTTTTAAAAAAATCTGTTACATGTTTCTTGAAGCTGAATTTTGCTACTATGAAAGTAGTGAGCAGGAGTGTTTCGCAACCGAAAAAGACCGCACAAAAGTAAATAGGAAAATACAAAAAATGTTTTTACAAAATTGCAATTAAAATCGATTGGATCATTGTCAGTAAAATTTGATAAAAACCAAATTAAATTTAAAAAAAATTTAAATGAAAAGAAGATAAACTAACGAAAAAAATTAAAAAATCTATATAATTTTTTTAGCGAAGAAAAAGACGAGGAGGTGCACCTGCTTCAGGACGAGCTGCAATTAAAGGAGAAAGAGGTTTTTTCTTTTTTTTAAATAATTTAATTTTTCTTTAATTTAAGGCCAGATCGGGTTACTAAATGCTATAATTAATCTTAATACAATTTAAAAGTCTCAAAAGTTTTTAATAAAATACCAGGGTTGAAAAGCCGCTTCGCGACTTTTCAACCCTGGCCCCGTCTGATCCCATGAAATTCTGCCCTTTGCATAATTCACGCGATTTTCTATGACAAAAAATAAGAAACGCGACCTCTATTCTCTGATATAGGCCACCGCAACTTCCGGCGTATGCTGATTTTTTCCTAACAAAGAGGGTTCTCGATTTTTCAACAAAAAGCTTATTTTCACATCGAAAACACCAAATTTTTGAAAATTTTATGGGTGTGCAGTCATCCCGAGGCCATTACACACCTAATGACGTATAAAACATACCCCTAACTGCCCCCCTTATTGAGATACTACTGGAACACGCTGACGGAAGTTGCATGCAAAGTGGCACACACACACACAGACACTATTTTTTTATATTAATAAAATATTAAACCTAATTTATAAAAGGACAAATTTTACATTAACCAAGTCTTGAACCATTTTAAATGCAATTTTTTCCGAGAATTTTTGAAAGTGTAAAATTATATAAGTGGTGATCGAAGCAATACCAGAAATTTCTCACTGTAAAGTGTTTTTACTCAACTTGGAGTTTCGATTCGGGACCAAGTGCATCTTGTACAGAATTTTTCGATGATTCCGAATATGTTTTCCAAATTTGCTACGGACCGTTATTCTGAAAGTTATATTGCAATTCTAACCCTAGTTTTCACCAAAATGAAAGTATCGTTATAGTTTTCGATTTTCTTCATTATTTCAACGTCAAATTTGAGTAGACGTTACCCGACAAGCATCCTACAGCTCAAAACAAGCATTTTAGCTAAAAAATGAGATTTTTATGCAAAAAGCAAAAGAAATGATGCAGGGCGGGGGTTCGAACCGCCGCCCTGCGCTTGGCAAGCGAGTACTTTGCCAATGCACCATGGTGCCAACTGGGTAGGGTGCTGTCATAGGGTACTTCAGGGCCTCTGGGAACCATTGCCCCCAAACAAGGAATAGTGGGCCAGCGTCTGAATTTTTGGCATTTTTCGGCCTAATTGTTACCAAAAATGATTTTTTAAATAACAGTCCGTAGCAAATTTGGAAAACATATTCGGAATCAGCGAAAAATTCTGCACAAGATGCACTTGGTCCCGAATCGAAACTCCAAGTTGAGTAAAAACACTTTACAGTCAGTCCCGGCCTCAGTCTGATTGTATTGGGCGAATAAAATTCAGCTGAACTCATTTGAACAGCAAAACATTTTTTCCAGATCCTGAAGCTGAACAACGAGCGGCTCGAGCTCATCCAGGACGCTAGGGAGGCGCGGAATCTCCGGGATGAGCTGGAGTTTTTGAACCAAAAGGTATGGGGAAATCTAAAATTTAAGTTTATTAAAGGATTAAGTAGGCCAGTTATGGAATACGCATTCTTAATTAACTTCCATTACGTCAAAAACTAATCGAAAAACTCGTTTTATTGTAGAAACATTTAAACATGAAAATTTACATCTTGGTGAAACATCTTATTGCGATAAAGTTAATAATTTTATCATTCTTCATTGTTACGATACAGTACCCTTAATTAGCAACGAGGAAAGTATAAGCAAAAGATACCACAAATTGAGGCTCAAAAACAAAACAAAGAAGATGTTTCCTGCTCAGAACCCTAGAAATCGGAGAGGTTGTCTATATTCCAAACAACGGTCACTTCGGATACCTCTTAATTGAATTATATATTTTTTGTTATTAAAGGGGGCTCCGAAAGCAGGCTCACGGCCCCAAGCGTTGATTCCTGGCAAATAGCCAGATGCGAGGCAACGCGACCGCGTCGCTTGGTCTTTTGCCCTTGCTAGAACGTGAAAACGCTTGAATTTCAAGATTCTGACGCTATTTCTGGAATTCTCATCGAATTTTGATCATTACACACTTTTTGATTATGAAAATTGATCAGAGAATCACCGAGATCGAGAGATTGGGTGCCTTACAAGGCATTACGACATGTAATCGCCGAGCACTCAAAATGTCGTTTTGCACCAAGAACTTTTCGGTTTTTCTCAAATATTTTACGTTTTCGCTATTAAATCAATGTTCTCGGGCTTCTCGGAATTGGTAAGGATGGAAGGGAAGCTTCGTTTTTTGACCAGTAGGTTGGATCCCCGCACGCACGAATTTTGGCTTCCGGGCCCCTTTAATGCCTTAAAACACCCCTTTTTACACAATAGAAGGTCGGGCGTGCGCGTTGTGTGTAGCGGCGTGGAAAAATGTATACGAAAGGCTGGCCAGAAAAGTTATACCCTCTCCCCTTACATGTACTTTACAAAAAGATGTTTCACCTCGAGCCGCCTAAAAAGTGACGTCAGCTGTCATATAATTGAGGCATGGTTACGATTGATGTATCTTCTTTCAGGTCTCAAAAGTCGACAAATTGGAGCAGGACAACGCGAAACTACGCGAGAAGCTGAACGAGCTGGACTATTATAAGAGCCGAGTGCAGGTGGGGTATACATATCGACAATTTTTGTCTTTAATATCTCTGATAAAAAAATTTGGTCATCAACCGACTATGAAACATTGAATTTTTAAATGTTGGGTTTGGTGAATGCATCGCTTAAATTCGCCGAAAAATTCGCGTCAAATTTACTTTAAAAAGAAAGTCGTAAATTCTAATAAAACAAGTCATCGTCAATTAAAATTAATGAAAAATGGATAATAAAATGAAAGGATATAACTAATTCACGATCATTTAATATATTTTAGGCGGATTTAAGTTTACATGATTAAACCGTTTAAGAAACATTTTTGATTATATTAGCGTTTATTAGCCATTCTATATTGGTTAATCGACTAAAATTGCAATTTTAGGATCTGAAAAAGGAATGCGAGGACCTCGAGGAATCGTCCCGGATTCTGGAATGCAAGATGGACGAGTTCCGGATAAAGGTTTGTTTTTTGGTGTTTCAGCTAGCATCGGAGCACAAAGCCATTACCAATTTCCAATCTCTGTGTTGTCGATGACTTTCGAAAACTTTAGAAAATAATGACAGAACATTTAGCATTGCACCACCACTATTCTCGAATTTTTAGTCCTAATTTTCGGGCTAATTTGAAGCCCTGATAGTTTGCAACAACCTCCAAATTTAACCCACCGGTCACTGCACTTGGCAAAAATTCATGTTTCAACAATTTTTCAAGTTTCCAATTTTCTGTGTTTAGTATTATGGAGTGTTAATTTTTGGGGAAACGAGCCGGTGATTTAGATTAAAAAATTAAAATGCGCTACGAGCTAATTTCAGGATCTAAATTTAAATAATTTCATTTACAGGGTTAGATTGGCTTGGACATCAATTTAAAATTACAATAATTAAACAAAAATAACTAAAAAAAGTGATCACAAATTTAGAAAATTACGAAGTTTCAAAATTTAACGAATTCATAAACTGAAATCCTAAATTAAATTCTAAAATTGTCAAGGCAAAATCGATACAGGAGGCGAAGATTCAGTTAATAAGATCCTGATATTAATTAAGCACAAAATCACTAATGAAAATGGTCATGGCTACAGCAAATTTAGAATCAAATGAAATTTAATTCCAACTCTAAATTTAAAGCCAAATTTACAGGGAAAATCGATGAACGAGGCGGAGATGAGGCTGGCCGATCAGCAGGATTCGATGAAGGAATTGCACACCGAGATCGCGGCGAAAAATTCGAAAATCGAGAAAATGCTCGGGGACCAGACGAGGATGGAGAAGGAGTTGGCAGATGCGCTGGCCAGGGTGGCACAGCTTGAAAAGTAAGTTGTTTAGCCGAATTTTAGCAGTTTTTGGGTACTAGTTTGTTATCGGGGGGCATGGGGTTAACAAATTTTCTATATTTCGATAAAAACCATTTTAATAGCATTTTAGGTTCTTTTTAGAGGTTAAAACTCTTTCCCTATGAAACATTTCAGCTGTTCAAAACTCGATGTTTCAAATCAATAGAAGCTTTGTTTTTGGATAGGCTGAATAATGCGTTAAATCCTTCGATCGTTCCTATCGTTCCAGAAATTCCTATTAACGTAATGTCAAGTTGGTTATTTCTAGGCAGGCCCGTACGAGGGGGGAACGGGGCACGGTGCCCCCCCCGAAATCGGTCGAGGTCCGAAAAGTTCATAAGGGGGGACCCTTATGATTTTTTTCGCAAAAATTTTTCTGCCTGCGGCGCTGTTTGTCACTGTTTCGAAACGATTTTTGCTTCTAGAAAACCTATTTTTCTAAAAATTTTTGCCTGCGGCGCTAGTTTTCATTTGTGCACCATCTTAGCTGAACAAAATTTCGCTTGCGCGCGCCGTTTCCGATGTGTTTTCACACGAATTTAAGCGTTACAAACGCGGTTTTCTAAATTTTTTCGCCTGCGGCGCGGTTATTTTCGCTATTTTCGAATGTTTTGAAAGTGGCGACCGGCTCCCGTACGGGCCTGTTTCTAGGTTATCAGCTTTTCATTTTGCGAGACCGAAGGAAATGGAAATGATATGTTTCAATTAAACTGGATAGGGCACTTTTTAGAAACATTTAATTTAGGCATATAGCAAATAGCTGAGTTTGTAAAATCGGATATGCGTCATCTCCAGAACATTGCGCACATAATGAAGTATCATACGTACTTTAAAATTCATCCCCTATCGAGAAATCCTACGGACAGACAGACGGAAGTGGATGCAAAGTGGCACACACAGACACACACACAGACACTATTTTTTTTATACAGGGTGTCCCACAAAAAAGCACCCCTCCCGCATTTCGCCATATTACGTCCGATCGGTCCCATACTTGTCAAAAGGCTGTGTCGGACCCTAAATAACCATAATCCTGAGTTATAGCCGGATCGCTACAGTAGTTTTCAAGTTATTGCCAAAATCCTATTTTTTACGCGATTCTTAACAGTTTTTCGGCTATCTTTTTGGACTTTGCATCGATTTGCATCGAATTCCGGCTGCGAATCCCTAATTTCGCTCTTATCGGGTGTGTCTTTGGGTTACAAAAATTGTTGAAATTAACGGTTATTTGATGGATTTTTATCAGGAAAAAATCTCTAAGGGTAAAGAACGCTTGCCGCTTCTTTTCACTTAATATTCGAATGGTCGATTTCGACGAAAACCGTATGAAAAACGGATAATAAAGTTTATTTTTGCTGTATCTCGAAAACTACTGTAGCTGGCGGGCTATAACTCAGAATTGTGGTTTTTTAGCGTCCAATACACCTGTAGTCCAAATTTGGGACCGATCGGATGTAATATGGCGAAATGCCTGTATATAGTAGGATATGCTTACTATCTGAATTACAAACACGTTTGAAACTCAATTTATGTAATTTCTAGAGACAACATCAGTGTTGATGGGTCACCCCGACTGATGCCCGGCTCGTTAGCCGACCAAATGGAGGAGAGCAGCCGGAATGAGGTATGCTTTTTAAAGCAGGCCGGACGGCAAAATTTTGGCCTGATAATACCTTTTCTGAAGAAATGCTTTAACTAAATTCACATGTTTTAAAAATCCAGAAGACGCCGGAAATGGAAAAATTACTAATGAGTTCAATTTTTCGTGTAGTTTTTCCTGAAAATTATGATTAAGCCGATTTTAAAATATCTTTAAATTCTTTGAATTTTAAATACGCTTTACTAAGCTGTTTTGTGTTGCAACACTGGCTAAATTCTAATGCTAGCCGAATTTCGACAGAAAAAGTAACGGCTGACTTTTAAAAATTTTGGTTTCTAAAATTTTGCAAATAATCAATAATTTTCAAATAAACAAAATATTTTATTGAAAAACGGTTTATCAAATTATATAGCTCCAAAATGTAACGGAATCCTATCCTATAAGCGAGAAAATCCTATCCTATAAGCGAGAAAAGTATGTTTGTTTTCTGTGCAGCCGATTTCTCGGCCGTGAGGCCGAATTTCAGGCTGATTTTTGGCATGGAGGTGTGTAATGCCATTTATGAGAAACGGTTTTTTGGATTTTCCGAAATTCCTGCATTTAATAATTTTACAAGCAAAAATGTGAAAAATCCTTAACAATCTCTCAAAAAAACGGTATGTTCAGAGGATATCTCGCGATACCGGCTCAGTTGGGCCTTGATTTTTGGAGGGTGGAAAGAAAATACAATTGCCCCGATACTATTTTTTGGATTTTCACAAATTATCTAAAATAAGATTTTTATGAGCATTTAACTCCAGCGCCCTTAACAAAGTGGGCTTAGAGCCTTGGTCACCGGGGCGTAACTCGAACGCTTGATTGAATTTCCGGCCGAAATTTCGACCACTTATGTATTCGAGGATGGGGATCCTGCACAAAAAGTTAGTTTCTAAAAATATTGTGATTCCGCTGCGTTACATGCAAATTTTGTAAGATGGCTTTTTGTCGGCTCCTCAACTAAATATGAGTACTTGGCAGGCTGGAAAGATAGAACAGAATTTTCCGAAGCCTTCCCTTTTTAAATTTTTTAAATTGGTTGAATTTCCGGGAAGATAGAGCCGTTTTTGTTTCGGAGAGGGCCGCCCTTTTGGGGCGCCTAGGGAGTACCCCTCTGTGTCCCCAGCCCGTCCTGACTCGCCCCCCACCTAACCCACTCCCAGGTGATAACCCCGAAGATTTTGAAGCGCTGCCGGGTGGCTGGCCGAAAGGTTAACACTGAACAGCCACCTTCCTAGAGCGCCCCAGCGATGGGTGACGAATTTCTGGCCGTTACGCTCAAGGGGGAGTCGTCCTCCGATGGCCATACAAATTTAAACGCTCGCTCCCTTGGGACGCCAAGGGGTTCAGCTAGCCTGTTGCTGGACAAGCCAGACCCGGAAGGGATGGTTCGGCCTGACGGTCGTAATGTCGGTCCTGTTGGCACCAGTACCGATCTGCCGGACCCGGTAAGGGTCTCGGAAGCAGCTGAGCCTCAGCAGGGTACGAAGAACAGAGGGCCTGCCGATTGGACCCGAAGAGGTAGCAATACCGAGGTTCAATTGGCCGGGCGAGTAGCGGCACCCTCCAGCTGTTTTCCGGGACAACACCCCGCGGCCTATCCTCAAACACCGCGGCATCCCATGCAGATCGTGAAAATGCCTTCGGTGCCGAATACCAGCAGTAACTCGACCGGTACACTCCATACGGGAAAGAAGCTGTCTGACTCGGGATTTTTCGTTCCGAACCCGTGGCAAACGCTGGGCCCTGATTCTTCGAAGCTTTGGGTGCCTCGACAGCAGATAGAACCCGCGCCTGTTCTAAAACCTGAGCCTGTACAAATACAGAGAAAGAAGGAAAAGATTCGTCGCGCGGAACGTGTACAACTAAGGTTGGAATACGACCAAAGTCTACAACGGACCCCGGCCGATCCTGTACTTGCTCAAGGTCCTGTCGAGGTGTCTGAGGTTTTGTTGAGCCAGACTCCAAGCTCTCGCGAGCGACGGAAGCGAAAGTCTGATGCGGAGCGCAAAAAGGGAACCGCGAGTCGGAGAAACCCCTGAGGAGCATGAATCCCAACTCGCGTCAAGGCGTGCGAAACGCTTGCATAGCTCCCAGGGAACTCCTGATCAATCGCACCTCCCATCGCAATCCGTCGAAGGCCTAGCCAACGTCACGCCTACTTCGCATCTGAATTCCCAAAGAAAGGCAAATGCAAGGCGCATGAGAGAATTGCGTTCCCAGGAAACTCTTGAGAATCGAGCAAAACGCCTCGAAACTATGCGCAATGCGAAGCAACTGCGTGATTCTCAATCGAGTAATGGTGATTCGCAGGCCCCTCTGCGCTTGGCACACGCTTTTACGGCGGCGAACGATGCTTCGAGACAGGGGCCCAAGCGGAAGCACAATGCGGAACGGATGAGGTCACAGCGAGTCAATGAAAGTCCAGCTGAGCAAGCTGCTCGGCAAGCCAAAGACCTCTACGCTAAAAGGTTGCAGGAGGCTCGGTTGAGCACAAGTGAACGTGAGAATCAGAATCTCGCTCGGGCCGCGCGTGTAGCGGCAAGGCGCTCCAGAGAATCGCCTTCGCGGCGCTCGGAGCGTCTCAGTCGAGTTGCTGTCTCAATGGGAAGTTCACGAAACCGAGAATCCTCATCCCAAAGAGTATTGCGTCTGGAGGGGAATGCTATTCGGACCGCGGCTCACCGGCAGCAACGACGCCAGACGGCCGCTGCGCGCGCAGGTGCTGCCCGGAATCCGGATGCGTTTCCCCCCATCCACTATCTTGGCAAGCCGGACATCCCTTGCAATTGCTGTGGCGCATTGCATTACGCAGTCGAAACGAAATCCCCGAGCGGCAGTTTCCATTCGTGTTGTGGCCATGGCAAAATCGCTATTTCGTTGTTCGACAATTTCCCCCAGGAATTGGAAGATCTTTACAAAGGGGATACTCGAGAATCGAAAGATTTTCGGGCGAACATTCGAAATTACAATAGCGGTCTAGCTATGGCTTCAATGACGGCCCAAATGGATGCTCCGCCCGGAAGAGGTCCACGGCCTTATCGGATCCATGGAGCAGTGTACCATTTGGTCGGCCCTATGAGACCACAGCCTGGAGAGCAAGCCCAGTATGCCCAAATATACATAATGGACACCGAGCAAGCGGCCAACGAGCTAGCCGGTCGTGCCATCAATCGGCACTGCGATCAGGGCCTCTTTGCCAACCTCCATCTCCTCTTGCAAAACGTCAATATCTATGTTCAATCATTGATGATGATGGCAGAGGTGTCAAAAGAGGAATCTGATCAAGCAGCAGCCGATGGGCGGGAAGCTCTCTCAGCGCAGTTGGTCTTTCGAACAGATAAAAGGGACGACCAAAGACGGTTCAATGCGCCTACATCCAATGAGATTGCCGTTGTTTACGTTGGTGACGATGAGTCGATACCCGGCGAGCGCGTGTTCTATATCCACGAGCGAGACGGCGGCCTCAGGCAGATCCACTACTTGCAGAAAGAGTGCGAACCACTCTGTTATCCTCTCTTCTTCCCTCGGGGTGGAGAGGGGTGGCACCCTAACATTCCGAAGCAAGTGGGAAATGCTGGCCGTCGTGGTAACTCTGACGATGACGAACCGGCTATTGCCGATGATGGTCCGCCGAACCGGGTATCACAAAGAGAATATTTCGCCTATAACATGTTCGTCAGGCAAGGCTTCAATCCCATCCACCACGGCGGCAAACTTTGCCAACAATATTACGTGGATGCCTTCGCCAAGACTGAACAGAATAGGCTTAATTATTATCTGACTCACCAGCGTGAACTTCGGCTGGATACGGTTCGTGGCCTCACCGATCACATGAATTCTCATGGTCAAGGTCCTGCAGGCAGAAAGATTATTTTGGGCGCCGGTCATCAAGGCAGTGGTCGAAATTCGGTCGGACACTATCAGGATTCAGTGGCCATTATGACCAAGTACGGAAAGCCAGATCTCTTTTTGACCATCACTTGCAATCCGAACTGGCGTGAAATTCAGGAAGGTCTTTTCCCAGGCCAGACTGCAATTGATCGTCCAGATTTGGTTGCAAGAGTGTTCGAATTAAAAATGAGAGCACTCGATGAGGAACTTTTCAAAAAGCACATTCTCGGAGAAATGGCTGCCTACGTTTCGGTGATTGAATTCCAGAAACGAGGGCTTCCGCACCGTCATATGGTCCTATTTTTGAAGGAGGATTCAAAGCTCAGAACATCTGACGAGGTTGATAGGATCATCTCAGCAGAGCTCCCTGATTCCGACGTAAATCCTGAATTGTTTCAATTGGTTTCGACCAATATGATCCATCGACCTTGCGGTGCCCATAATCCTTCGTCGCCCTGCATGCAAGACAATACCTATACTAAAGGATTTCCAAAAGAATTCAGAGATACCACTTTGATTTCGGACGGTTATCCAAAATACAGACGCCGAGACCAGGGAAGGACTGTTCGGTATACGGTGAACCGGGTGGATGTCGTACTTGACAACCGTCACGTCGTGCCTTATAACCCTTACCTCCTGCTTCGGTTTGGTGCTCACATCAATCTCGAATGCTGCTTCTCCTTCGACTCGGTCAAATACCTCTTCAAATACGTCTATAAGGGTACGGACAGAGCTCGCTTCCAACTTCGGGATGCAAACAATGATGACCTTGGACCGGTCAATGAGATCGAACGGTACATACAAGGTCGTTATTTGTGCGCTCCCGAAGCTTGCCATCGTCTTTTCGCATTTCCCATGCAAAAGAAGAGTGACAAAGTCATCCGACTCCAAGTACATCTTGACGGATTTGAAAATGTGGTGTTTGACCCAGAAGATGCACAGGCGGCACTGAATAGAGCTCGCACTCATAAGACTACGCTGAGCGCATTCTTTGCCATCAACACGCATATGCAGCATTTGGAGGACACCGGAGCAAGGACGGTTACGGTTAATGGCGAAAAGTGTCTGCAGATCGGGAGAAGGAGGGACGCAGAGAAGGTCTTAGATTCCAGAGAATTTTTCTATGGCCAAATGCCAGAAAAATATCGTATCGTTCAAGGCAAATGGGTGCAACGAAAGAATGCGTCGCGGGTGATTGGCCGGATGTACCATGTCTCTCCACGAGACACGGAACGTTTTGCCATGAGACTGCTTCTGCTCTATACGAAAGGCCCCAGGAGCTTCGAACAATTGCGCACTATCAACGGCACTCAATACAACACCTATTTTGAGGCCGCCAAGGCAGCAGGATACATGAACGATGACTCTGTGAACCTAGCTACGATGCAGGAAGCCGCCGATGTGCGGATGCCTGGAGAACTTCGCAGCTTCTTCTCTTCCCTGATCGGCTCCGCTGACGTGCAGGACCCTGTGGCGTTCTGGGAACGCTTCAAAAACGACCTAATGCAGGATTTCCTTGCTCGCGGACTTTCCATCCAAGTCTCTGAGTCAAAGGCCTACTGGGAAATTGTCGAAGATCTGACAGTTCTCGGAGTCAGAGACAGTCCGTTGTTCCAACTCAATTTGCCAAAGTACGACATTGACATCGTCGTTGTTGATCCCGCTGAGCATGCTCGACTCGGGAACGACAAATACTTGCAATTGAATCCAGAACAACTCAGAGCGACGGATGAAGTCTTGGCCGAGGTCGCAGACCCAAGTGGGCAGTGCTTCTTCATTGACGGTCCAGGGGGAAGCGGCAAAACCTTTGTCTACCAAACCATCTACCACATTCTATCCGGTATGGGCAAGAAGATTCTCTCGGTAGCGTGGACAGGTATTGCCGCCAACCTTTTGGAAGAAGGACGAACAGTCAGCACTGCCTTCCGGCTGTTGATCAAGACCAACAACAAGGAATCCAGCATGAAAAGGCAGAGCATTGAAGCACGAGCACTCGCTGAGATCGACCTGATCATCTGGGACGAAGCACCAATGGCACCCAAAGAAGCACTCGAAGCAGCTGATGCTCTTCTTAAAGACATTATGCAAAACGATGTGCCATTCGGTGGAAAGGTCATGGTACTTGGAGGAGATTTCCGACAGGTACTTCCCGTGGTCGATGGCGGTGGTCGTGCTGAAATGGTGTCAGCCTGCTTGAAGTCATCCCGACTCTGGCCTCTCTTCCGAAAGTTTGAGCTCACGACCAACATGAGAGTTCGGGATGCAGGCAACGATTGGAAGGACTATCTTCTCGCTCTGGGTAATGATCTACTCGACAAGGACGAAGAGGGATACCTCGAAGTACCCGAAGATCTCAGATGCGAGCAAGATTTGGCCGAAGCAGTCTTCCGACCAGCCTTCGATGAAGGGGTTGAACTTTCTGAAGTAGCTATCCTCACACCCAAGAACGAACAAGCTCTCGAGCTCAATAATCGAATCTTGGATATGCTACCCGGAGAAGTCAAAACCTTCAGAAGTGCTGACTCGGCCGAGACTACTGATCCAACCGATGCTGCCAACTTCAACGCAGAGCTTCTAAACAAGATGACACCATCTGGAATGCCTCCCACCTGCTCCATCTAAAGGTGGGTTGCATCGTGATGCTTCTGCGAAACCTCAGCGTCAAAAGGGTCTCTGCAACGGTACCAGGCTGATTGTCGAGCAAATCGGAGCCAGAATTCTCCTCTGCACAATTGCCACGGGTAGCAGGAAAGGCAAAAAAAGTGTTAATCCCCGAATTGATTGCCTTTATGACAAAGCCACACTACCATTCGTGCTGAAGCGACGCCAATTTCCGGTTCGGCTGAGCTTCGCAATGACCATCAACAAAAGTCAGGGGCAATCATTCGAAAAGGTCGGCATTGCAATGTTACACGAAGAAATCTTTGCACACGGCCAGCTTTATGTTGCTCTTTCGAGAGCACGGAGCCGCAAAGGTGTCTCGATAATGGCCAAGGACAACAAGATGAAGAACGTCGTCTACGAAGAAGTCCTCGAATAAACTCTACATCTTTTGTCATTGTTGATTTTGTTGTTATTATTATTGTTATTGTTGCCCTTTTCTGTTGTTATTATTGTTGCTTTTTATATGATACCAGGGTTGAAAAGCCGCTACGCGGCTTTTCACCCCTGGCTTTCGCGCACGGAACTCTCAAAGTTGGGCACATTGCATAATTCGAGTGAAGAGCGATAGCGAACCCAAAAACGACAAAAGCAACCGGCCGCTAGCGCGACAAAATTCGAAATGAGCCTCCTAGCGCCTCGTATGCAAATGACGATATTTCCATATGTTTTAAAATCGCTAAAATAAGGTATAAATCGTCATTTTATAAAAAATCTGATAAGCTTGCAGTAATCTACGCCCTCGACTACCCCTAAATACCTTTCGACTGGGTCCTAAAATTGATCCCCCTTCCCGATATCTTGGTAACCCGGTTTTTTCGAGTCATTTATGCTAAGTGTCCACACACACACACACATGAACTATTTTTTTATATATAGTAGGATTTCGCCGAATAAATATTTTAAACCCCTAATATGTGTCTCACTTTCTCAGAATTGGTTCTTTGCCATAATTATCTCTAAACTTTTTTTGATTTGTATCTTTGAATCCATTTTTCAGCTTTATGTGACCGACCTACGGCCCGCACATAAAATTCCGATAGGATTTTGGGGAGGTTACAGTCATGTAGACCTAGAAGTGGCCAGTGGAAAACTGCCGCGAAGCGGCTTTTTTCCACTGGTTTTTAATAGGCCATTTTGTGATGTGAAACATGCAAAATAGAAAATTTTTGAGAGAAAATGTTTCGTGATTTTTCGAAATGCATTGCAGGTCATTTGGAACAATGTACTGTTCAAAAGGACCAAAACTAAAAAAATTAAATTAGAGAAGCAGAAAAAAATAACTAAAATCCAAAAAAATCGGATTTAAAAATACGTTAACAATCTTAGCTAAATTTATTTGGCTTAACTAAATCGTCTTTGAAAAGCGACTGTAAGAAGACGTTCGGAAAACGGACACTAATGACTTGTTCAGCAATTTTATAGGAAACATTCCCAAAACATACATTTTTTCTGAAATTTAGGTGGCCCAGCTGAGACTTCAGAATCAGAAATACCGACAGCAAATCGAAAGCCTCGAGGAGCAGAGCCGCGAAAATAGGTTTGTTGAAAAGATTATAAAGTTAGGTATTTAAAAGTATAGAACCATTTTTACTAATTTTTATACGTTGCTATGCGTTTAAAAATAAGAATTGAAACTTTGAAATCAACCAAATCAAATTGGCTCATTTTTTCGAAAATTGGTTTCATAAAAACCACACGTTTTCGACAAAAAATTTACGCTTATTATTATTAGTATAGATGATAAAGTATTAGTCCTCTTAGCATAGATGTGGCGAATTGGGGTTAACCAGGAATTTATTGAAATTGTTAGTTGTTGTATTTGCTTATTTAAGTAATTAAACCAATTTTTGGCTTTACTAATATTTTATTATGTTAATTAAATTAATCTTTGGTCAAATTCGATTTCAATATATATTTTTAGCCTCTCGGTGTCCAACGTGGAGACGGAGTCCCGTCTCGACGAGTGCGAGAAGCTACTCGCCGATCAAAGGGAGGAGAATGACCGGCTGAATCGGCAGATCGGCCAGCTGGAGCTGCACCTCGAGTTGGCAAACTCGGAAAAGTTGCAGGTGCAAAAATTTTTGAAATTTTGAGGTTTCATAAAATTGACTGGGCGAAGTTTGAAGCAACACGTTATTCGTTACTTTCTCTTCCCGAACCGATTGAATTAGATCATCAATTTAAAAATAAAGTAAAATCTCTTTAGCTTTTGCTTTAGGATCCAATTGTGCACATTTTAAATAATCGTATAAATTTAAAATGCAATAGAGCGGGTTTTATATTTTAAACTGTTTTTACTATTGCGAGCTTTGCCATTTTTATTAAGTATCCAGTAAAATATCGAATTTTAGACGGAAATCTCCTTTTTTAAATGCCAAAACATTTTTCGATATTTTTCACTGGAAATATGTTGCATTTTACTAAAAAAAACTTGAAACTTTACTAGGCATTTTTGACTTCTTACACAAAATTATATCCCTTCTGACTATCGAAAATGTGAAGCTAGAAAAATTAAAATGTTTCGCCTAATCGACTCGTTTTTGAAGACACCGGATAAATAATAGTTCTTGTTTTCCTTTGGTGCAGAAGTTTATCATATTTTAGCATTTATTGAATATAATTTTTTGAGCAACTTACATATTTTTTCCAGGCTGCCGACCGCAGTGAAGCGCTACGAATCGAGCGTGATGAAGTGGAGACGACACTTCGAGAAGTTCGCCGAAATTTCGCCACCCTCCAGCATGACGTCGAAAGGAAGCAGGTCGACATCGAAAATGCGGTACGGTTTCATATTAATTTAATTGTTGAAATGAGATTAATTTAAATTTAATTTAAACTATAAATAACTCAATGGAGAATCTCATGTTTCACGCTTTTCGCACTCCATTCAGCTTTATAAAGTTTTATTGGGCAGGTTAACCTGAAGTTTTGATCAGCTTTTCGCTGCTTACAATTTGGTGGTTTTTAGAGTTTGCTAATATTAAATATAAACTTAAAAAACAGGTGATAAAGGAAGAAACGAAGAGACAGGTTCGTGCAAAATAAAACGATAGGCAATGCAAGACCCAAATTTTCATTTTTTCAGTTTTCAAGTTTCTTGAAATCAATAGAGGAAAGAATTGAATTATTGGGTTGATACAATTTTTGCTTTTTAACGCAAATAATCCAATTTTAGTAAAGTTTCATGGTAGACATGAGGGAAAAAAATGTTTTGTCAAGCTGTGTAGCAGAGAAATTTATTACGAGGATAGTCCTCGCTGGAAAGTCCTAAAACGATGCTTATCGTATAAAAATAATTAACATCGAATCAATATAAAATAAAAATAATAATAAATAGATAGCAAATAAATAAAGATAGAGATAATAAATATGAAATGTTCAGAACTCGAAACGCCTCGAATCGGAATGCAAGGAGATGTGTCGGCAGCTGGAAGAAATGCGGCTTGAGGTCGTCGAAAAAGAAAGAATAATCGGCCGCGTCCGCGAGGAGCAGGTAATTTTTGTGTTTTTCGAAACACCATATTTTCGTGTTTGGATTTTAGCCCGGTTAAAATGTTTTTAACATCGTAAGGGCTTTTCCATTTTCCAAAACAAAATTGAATTTTTTGTACATTTAATGTTTCACATAATTTTTACGCTCGGCAAAAATTCCTTGCGTTAATTGAGTCCGATGTACTCTATCAAAAATACCGCGCCGTTAGCAATGCGACTGCATTTGCATTTTCATTGCACGCAAAAATGGTTATTTTATTCGGAAAACGCCATAAATAACGTTAAAGATTAGAATTAAAACAACACGGGACCGCTATTAACAAAATAAATAAATAAATAAATAAATAATAATATTAAATGATAAGGAACATGGAAAATCCTGCCTAAAAGCCTAAAAATGTAGATGCAATAACGTGACTTTAGAAAAACCAGCGTGCGGAAATGGATCGGCTGGAGGACGAGCGGAAGGCGCTGGAGATGACCAACTCGCAGACGGATCGGCAGAAAAGGATAGCAGAGACGGAGAGGAATGCTTTGAAGGTACTGTAGGATTACCATGGCTTCTGAACCTACGGAAATACTTTTCATTTCATATATAACATAATTAGCAGTTTGAACAATGGTTCCGGTTGCCTGAGAGCCGTTTTTTGGGGTTCTTTGGCAATATCGGGGGGAGGAGCATAGTTTTTTCTAGCAGTCCAGAAATGCCTGACAACTCAATAGTGAGTCTTCTATAATTTTTTAGTCAAATATTCATGATACACCAACTAGAATAAATTTTCTTTCGGAAACTGTCATTTTGGTCGAAACATCGATTTTTATTTGCGTGTTTTAATAAGAATTCTACAGTTTTTAGGCTCAGAAAGATGAAAAAAAGCGGTAAAGTTCCTATATTTATATTGGAAAAATTGGCTACTTAGAACAAAAAGTTGGATCTCCACCTGCCCCCCCCCGCTATTGACAAAGAATCTATTATTATTATTTTTAATATTATTGTTGTTCCTATTAATGTATTATGGAACATCACCGTTTCAGGAGAAACTCGAACGGCTCGAGGACGAGGTGGAATCCTCGCGCTTCCGGCTGCTCTCAACGGAAGACGCGCGCAAACGGCTCGAATCCACCGAACGGGCTCTGGTCGAGGCGCAGAACAAGTCGGGCGACTTGGAGCAGGAGAATCGAGCTCTTGCTCATCAGGTCGGTGGAATAGGCGTTTTTTCTTCATTCAGAGCATAACACGATAGCTCTTAGTGCCAATCTGCATATTATCAATTTTCGAACTTTTCTTTTTTTATAAAATGTTTGAAACACATGGTTATTCACGTGTTGTTGATCAACCAGATCGGTGACATAGCCAATGATTTGTATTGAAAAAAACCCAATTTTAAATTCTGTAAATTAAACCATTAACTTCCACTAAAACAGCGTTCGAAAATTGACAATTTTGAAAAAGTCATGGGCGGATTTTTTTGAAACATGATTTCGCCAAGTTGTTTACCAGCATAGCTAGAACAAAGACATCCAAATACCAAAAATACAAACTATAGGAAACAAATGAAAAATAGCCATTTATTCCAATTTATATGTATTTAGTTCATAGAAGCACATCGTTGCGGAAATCATTGAGTTTCGAAAATTTTGTTTATTTTTAAAAATTCCTTTTTGATAATATTGATGCTGCATGATTTTTTTATAGTATTTTAGTTGTCTGGCGGACTGCACAATTTGCTAATTGAATTTTCTCCATATCTAGCGTTTAAAAACATACAATTCAAGCCGCTAAAAATTTCCAATACTGTGGAAATAGATGTTGAAACTGATACTTAAATTGAAACGCCGAATTTCGGGCTGTAGTTAGAGACCGGGAACAGGAATTTTCATAGGTTGGTAATGAGCGTTTATGAAAATCATATTAAAGATTGCTCAAAAAAATGAATAGCCCGAGAAAGTGAAACACCAGATTTTCAGCTGGAGCTCGAGTCTCGAAAGGTGCAACAACTTCGCGAAGATCTCGTTGGCGAGAAGTCTCGCGTGGCGGATCTGATTGGTCGTCTACGATCTGTCTGCACTGGAATTGCTGTCAATGGCGGGAAAATCGAGGCTGATATCGATGATGCGAAGGTTTGCAAATTTCAGCTTTTCAAAACCTTTTAAAAAATTGTATGTTTCAACGTTTTTTGGGAGAAATTAGGGGAGTTTTGCGGTAATCATAGGCACATGAGCGAAAATTCTTTACATTAAATTGCTAATAGCCTAGTATTAGCCTAAAATTCAAACTTAAATTTTTACATAAATTAACTTGGAAATTTTGAAACAAAACGATTTTCATCGCGAAATAAACAAACAAACAAAGAACGATTTTAACTTTAAAAAGGCAAATGTCCAAAAAGTTGCAAATTAATAATCATTTTAATTTTTGTCTAGAAAGGATAATTTTTTCAGCTAATCGAATCGATCGACGACGTGATTATGAAAGCGCTGAACGCGGCGCGGCGCGAAGCGGACACGTTGCGTATCCAGCAGCATACGCAGATTGCCGAGTTGGCTGATCTGAGGAGGGACATCGAGAAGCTCAGGTGGGGGAACTTTTGAAATAAACGAATTCTTTAAACTTACAAAATTCTATGTTTCAAAATTGTTTTAAAAATGCAAAAAACGTGCCCTTGTAATACAGAAATATTTCCGGGAAAAAGGTTTACAATGTATCTTTTAAAAAATTCAAAAATCGTCAGATGTCTGGCGGAATAATACGTTGATAAAAATATCGGGTTTCACCATCGATGTATCACCAACAGCAATATTTGAATGTAATTTTCTGAAATTCAGCACCACAATTTACATTAAAAATAGGCCAACAATAACCTAAAAATAAGGAAATAGCAAAGCCTCAAAACGTTATATGCAAATCGCATTTTACAGGAGAGCTGAAAACGCATCACTCAACGAAAGTGACGACCGGGTCCGGGAATTAAGCAAGGAGAATGCCAACGCCAAGGAACAGGTAAATTTCCTCAAACAATCTCTGCTAGCCTGCCCTCCTCTCGGGGTCCGTCCATTTCCTCCTCCAATCTCTGCTAGCCTGCCCTCCTCTCGAGGTCCGTCCATTTCCTCAAACAATCTCTGCTAGCCTGCCCTCCTCTCGGGATCCGTCCATTTCCTCAAACAATCTCTGCTAGCCTGCCCTCCTCTCGGGGTCCGTCCATTTCCTCAAACAATCTCTGCTAGCCTACCCCTCCATTTTCCAGGTTTTCCAACTGCAAGAGCGTCTCCGCGAGCTGCAAATCGAAATCGCGACCCGATCTGCCGAGACGGCGTGCGCCAAACGAGAAGCGGAAGAGCTCCGAACGACAAATGTAACGATTTTTTGCTAGTACACGATTAAAAAACCTCTTACTATTTTTTCGCTATGTTTATAATTAGTTTTTCTTGCAATTTACACTATTTTTGACGAAATTTTTGGCCCTGAAGCTTCAGGTTTTTTGGAACTTTCCGGACACTACCAGATGTCCTCAAGCCTGTGGCCTGCAATTTTTATTGCCCCGTTCCGCAGTCCAACCCGACGACGCTAGGGGGGTGTAATTCGGAAAAAACGTACTCCGAGTAGTCCATGCTGAATGTTATGGGGCATTATGTTCAGTGGGCACGGGCGGAAGTTATGACTTTACTATAGCCTCGATTGTCCTCAACTTTTTGATTTTTGGAAACATATGTTTCAAAAAAGTTACACTTGAGCAAAAGTTATTCCCAGTTAATGATGGAAGAGTACGACACTAAATATTTGAAATTTTTGAAACATCAAAAATACGTGTTTCAGTTAGGTTTTCCGAAAAAATATCGGCATTCCGGATACGAATCTCAAAAGCGGCGATCTCAAATCCTTGTTTTTGGGAATTGAGAGCGCTTTGAAAAGTGCCTTTTTCAGGTGAATCTCAACAAACTACACAACGAGCTCGCCACGTTGCAGGTATCGTTGCGGAACGCGCAGCTTCAGGTGAGAGAGACAACCAAAACCATAATTTTGCCGTGACCGCTTATCTAAAAAATGTGTTTTTTTGTATCCATCGTTGTCAGCCCATCTGCTTTATCATCATATTTCCATGTCGTCAATTAATCGTTTTCACTTTATGGATTCGCCAGACTTCTATGAAACACATTTTCCTAAATTTTTTGCTGGATTTTGTACACGTCGTGTATGGATCCGACACGAATTTTCCGCATCGCGACGCGTAACGTGCGATTTGCGAACAGTATGTCAAAATTCATAATGCCGAAATTTCGATATTTCCAAAAATTCATTTTTGTATAGAATTTTCTGGATTTTCCAACAGATTTCTTTATTTAAATTTCGACAGCAACAAAATTTGGAGAGTATGAATTTCTGCATTCTAAATTTCAACATTTTGAAAGTAACCCGCAGCGCGCATGTCCCACGAAATTGCGTAATCGAGTACGAGATCTTAATGGCGCCAAGTGACGTGCGCGTTGCGTATCGCGGCGCCGCGCGGCAAATTCATAGGAAATTCGGGGCCTAAAAACATGATTTCCTTACAGGTTCCTTCAAAAAGCGTATACTGTACCTTGTTAGAAAACGGGATTTTCAGGAAGAGCTGCTGAAGCAGGACAACGAAGAGCTCCGCACCCAGGTCGATCTGTCGGAGCGGATGAAGCGGGAGGCTAAGCGCGAAGCGGTGGGTTTTTATTAGCGTGATATAGTTACAGTTATATATAGGATTAAAAGCCGAATTTTGCAAAAACTGCAAATCAAAAGAAAAATTTAAAGGTTTCAAATTCTGCAAAATTCCAAAAATCATGATGTAGACAATTTTTCATCTTTTTTTTGTTACTATGGATACTTGTTCCACTTCTATTTTTTATTATCCCTACTGCTTTTTATGTATTTTCCATTAACGGCTTCAAAAAACCCTCTGGTTAATTAGCATAGCAATATTCACGTTTTCCGGGTCCAAAAACCTGACTTCTCAAAAATTAACGTGTTTCAAATAAACGCTAAGCGTCGAAAATGTAATACATGGAATACATGGTTGAATCCCATGCTGTTCGCATATTTCTAAACACTCTGCTTTGAAAAAGCCAAAAAAGGATATAATGGTGAGGGGGAAGGCAATTGATTTTCCGCCTCGATACCGAGCGGTTAATAATAAATTGGGATTTTTTTACAATGCGTTAAGTAGTTTTCAATCCCTAGAAGTCCTTAAAAAGATAATAGAGACATTTAAAAATCTTAAGTTAAAACATGGAAAAGGTGATCCGAAATCAAAATTTACGAATTTCTATAGTTTTTATTTATTATGTTTATAAACTGTGAAAAATGCTGTAAAAAAAGGCATTGGCGGTTTTTCTCCCAAAATTCAATTTTTGAATTTCGGGTTTTTTATTTTTATATATTTATAAACCGTGTAAAATGTTATAAAAATCAATATTGTCAATTTTTCGGTCATAAAATGCGCATTATAAATTTTAAAAGTTTCATCAAAACATTTAGTTCCAATAATGAAAATAGGCGTACTTTCAAACACACTTCGTATTCCTTGACTTTCTCCAGACCGCGAGTAATTAGCATATTGTGGGGGTGGGCGAACAGCTGCCCGCCCCCCTTCTCTCTTCAATGTCCCTTTAAATTCAACGCCGGCTGTTCCGTCCACTTCCGGAATAAATTGCGACGTGTCTGCCGGGCAGTCAGCTAGGCCACGCCCCCTTTTTGGTGCTCTTTTTGGGACTTTACTACCCCACGGAAATCGGCCGCCCATCCAAGGGCTCGAGCGAGTAGTCATTTTACACTTTTCAACACAACTGCTTTTTCTCTGTCTCAAAAAATTATTAAAAGGATTTAATGGCATTCCATCGAAATATCATTTTGTCGAAATTTCAGTTTGCCGAAATTCAAGCTCGCGAAATGTTTTAGCTGAATAATCGAGGCGAAAAAGGCATTGAAATTTCGGGAAATTGATCTTTTGACAAATTTAAATTCCGAAAAAAAGGAATTTCGATAAATAATTAATTTCACCAAAACGATATTTCGACAAGATGATTTTGGACAAAATGAGACAGGTTTGGAGTTTCGAAAAAGTTCTGAAATGAACGAATAGAACATCGAATTAGCTTCCTAAAACGTGAATTTCTCGAAAATTTTTGCTGCAACATATTTTTGAAAAAAACCGTAATTTTCTTGTTTACTAATTTTGAAGTAGCAGTGTTTAATATTGAAAGGTATAGGACCAAATCGCGGCGCTGCATCAATCCCTTCTATCGGACCACGATCGTCTCCAGTCTCTGCACGATATGCTAAATCATGATTATGAAAGGGCGAAGGCCGATATGGCAGAGGCGAAGAGGAGGGCGAGACAGCAACCAACACACGAAAAGGTAAAAATAAATTTTAATAAAAAGGGTGACGAAAAAAGAGAGGGCAGGCTAGCAGTGACCGTTTGCTAGCAGAGAGCGAGAGAGAGAGAGAGCGAGGGAGATAGTGCCATAAAGGGAGATAGAGAGCGAGAGAGAGAGCGAGAGGGAACGAGAGAGAGAGTGAGATAGAGAGAGAGAGAGAGAGAGAGAGAGAGAGAGAGAGGGAGAGAGCGAGAGAGAGAGAGACAGAGAGAGATACAGAGATAGCCAGGGAAAGAGAGCGAGAGGGAACGAGAGAGAGAGAGAGAGAGAGAGAGAGAGAGAGAGAGCTATACAAAGCGAGAGCGAGAGGGAACGAGAGAGAGAGAAAGAGAGAGAGAGAGAGAGAGAGAGAGAGAGAGAGAGAGAGAGAGAGAGAGCTATACAAAGCAAGAGCGAGAGAAAAACCAAAAGTACAAAGGTTTATTAAAAACCAATATTTAAGGTAGAAACATCGATTTATTTTTTTGTAGACTGGAAATGAACAAAGTTTCGACTTTTTAAGGTTTTCCAACTTTCGGGATCTGTCTTATCGGAAAAAATGTTTTGTGTTGGCCTAATTACAACCTCAACGTTCGCAAATATAATTTATTCTCCCGCATTCAAAATCTAGAAAGTTTTTCAAACTTCCTAGTTTTTACCTAATGCATTTTTGTGCGTTTATATATTAATGTTTTTTCCAGTTCGGCCAATCGGTCAACGCCGAGCTGGAGGAGCTGCGTGTCGCCCTGCGGCAAGAGAGGACGGCCCACGATCGTCTCCTTCGCCAGACGGCCGAGGGACAGAACGAGAACGGGCAGATGCGGAGGGATATCCATGCTGTTAGGTAGTTTTTATATTATTATTTTATTTATTAAATGAAATTTTACATTACTTTAGTATCGCCCGTTTAGGGCAGTTTTTGATGCATGTCTACTAAAACATATTTTTTGCGTCAACTACACGAAAATGCAAAATGTACCCGGTAGGATGAAAAATAAAGTTTCAAAAAAATATTGGTTTGGCTCAAAGCAATTCTTCGACAATTCGCTGCTAGATTCTGTCACAACCAAGCTACTTTAAAGGCCTCTGGAAAGATGGGATTGGTCAAAAAGCAAGAAGATATGCACCGGGCGGGGGTCGAACCAGGGTCGTCCGCTCCAAAGTCAAACGCGCTACCCCCACACCAAAGGGGTCGAGTGGGTGAGGGCGGCGGAGGGGCCCCAAGTACCCTAGGACCGAACCGGTGCACGTTATTGGGCAACTATTCAAAATAAAGCTATTTACAAGTAATAATAACGAAAAAACCTACGGAAAAGCTTGCGAAGGGCAAGGAAAGTACTCCCTGAATTTCCTGAAGTGTTTTATACCCTTTCCGACGATTTTTGAACTAAAAAGCTCCCCAAAAACCTCTTTCCGCTCAGAACATGGCCGCCTTCTATCCAATCAGCCTCAAATTTTTACCACCGATGGGGATGGCTAAAAACTATTTTTATAGAAGTTTCCAGCCAAAAATATAGGCAATCAAAAAAGTTATGGCTATAAACCCGTTTTCTGGAAATCCAGTCGGGGGTTTTGGGGGCCCTTACGCGATGGAAAGCGTGCATGGTTTCGCCCCGTCGGTCCCTCACCCCTGGGGACGCCCGGCCATCTTTCCAAGGGTCTTTAAAGGCTTTGAAAGAAAGTAGAAAAAGGCGTCATTCCGGCGCATGTTTTTTAAAAATTTACAATTTAGTGGCATGGTTACCGCTATTTAATGATTTTTTGATGACCGTCTCCCATTAATTACGGATTTACAGTCGTTTCCAGCCAGTTTTTTTAAAACATTTTTTAAAATTCAAGGAAAACTGTGTTGCTACTACCTACATAGCATTTGATCACATTCCTTAATTATATATTGCGTAGCATCAATTGTCCATTCAAAGCTATAATAATTTGATAGATGTTTTTGATGATTTCTAACACCACTAAATTAATTCCTTTTTTATAAAACTGAATTTATACAAAAAGTAAATTTTGATTAGACGCTGGGGCGATTCGCAAATTGTGTTGGCTTTGGACAGCATTCTGTTGCCTGTAATTTAAAACATTTTTTAGATAAAAACGACAAAATTTAAAATTATTTGTAAACTGAAAATAAATGTTTCGACGAAAGACTCTAATAGCATCAATTTTATACCTCAATAATTCCTCTACATTTTAATCTATTTTTAAGCTATGCGTGCCTTCATTTTTCGACATTTTCAATCGGTAAACTGATCTTCATTGCCCACCTGGGTGTAGTTATTCTAACGAGCTTTTTTAAAACACATTTATCTCATTTAAAAAATTATAAATTTCGAGTTTAGTCCACTTAAATGAATTTATCTATTAAAATTGACTCAATAATGATTATGATTTTGTAAATTAAAAACATTTTCCAGGAAAGAAAACGAGTGCCTGGCGCGGAATTGCGACGATTTGAACGCCGAGATCTATAAAATGAGAATGGCCGATCAAGCACAAAAAGCGACGATCAAGGTGGGTTTCTACCAATAAAAAACAGACCAATATTTAATTTTTGTATTTGTGTGAAGTCCATTGATTCAATTTTAACCAAATGAATTTTAAAGAAACACCGATTTGCACATATTGTAAGGAATTGAGGTTCCTCGCATTATTGGGGGAAGACCATTTTTAATTAATCTAGAAATGCCTAGTAACTTAATAGGAATTATTTTCACATCCTTTTTAGTAAAATAAACGATATTTTAACTAGAAAAACCATCTAAAAACTGTCGAAGACTTTTCAAAAAGTCGACATTTTGAACAAAAAAAACACGCTAATTTTTGGTCGAAAAATGTAGATCTTCTGTATTTTTTTAATAAAATTTTGTAAAATTATCACGTTTACGGTTAATAAAAAACAGTTTAGCAACACTTCCGCTATTTACATTTACAAAATTCGTTTCTGAGGGAAAAATGCGATTTAAATGCGACATTGACACTTTTATAAAATGGAACTATACACAGTTACTTTAAATTTCTACGAAACACTGATTCTTGAAAATTTAGGTTTTCTCGCGGTGTTTTATTTTGGTTTTTTACATTTACTCTTCAGAATCTGAACGTGTCGATGGAAGCGTTAAGCCGACAACTCGAAGGGAAAGAAATGGAGTTGGCCAAGCTGCGGAACCGCATTGAGGTATGTCGTTTTTTAATTTCAGCTAGGATTTGTTAAGATTATAGACTACAGTGCTCCACATAATCTTAGGTCCACCCCAAAAAATTGGGAAATATAAATTAAAAAGTATGATAGAAAAAAAGTAAAAAGGCAATGATATGATACAAAAAATATACCAAAACAGCAAAATGCCACTGTTTGTATAGTATGGTTAAACTACTAATATCAATATTTTATGTATCTATTTTTGGTGATTTACTGCTGTTACCAATGTATTGACCCTCAAACCGTTTCATAAATAAGGGGAATTCCTGTAACATTCAATTTCAAACAAAATTCGAAAAAATTGGGAGAATAAAGAATGTTTTAGGCCCCTCTCTAGATCAAACCTTGACAATCGTTGTAACTTTTATGCAAAAATTAATATAAATCAATAAATTAAAGATAAAAAAGGTCGAAACAACCTCTGACTAAAAAAATAGAGGGAATAGAACGGGGACAAAAAATTCTGGTTAAAAATTATCTAACCTCACAAAAATTTGCAAAATTGTGTTTCAATGCTTTTTAGTATTCAAATTGAAATTGATCTACTAATGTGGCCACCAAGCAAGAAAAGGCGCAATAATCCGGAATTAAAAACCAAGAATAAAGGCTTTTTTCCAGATGCTCACCCAGCTGAACCGCACGCTCGAGGAGGAGAACAAGAATTTGGGCCGGCAGGTATGCTTTTTCTCAATGAAATTACATTGAAAGAATAAGTTAAATTTAAAAAAATATATTTTTTAATATTTTTTAGTAAATTAATGTAACTAATAGGCCTTTTTAGCTGGAAATGCTGCTTCAAAACAACAAGGATCTTCTGAATCGAGCACTCAACGAAAAAGATATTTATCACCAGGAGCAGAGGGATTTCCAGGTTGGTTTTTTAAACTAAAAACAATGGACAGGCTAGCAGGGATACTTTGCGGAAGAAAGGAAAAAGTGGAAGTGTCAAAAAAATGTTTGTCAATTTTTTGAAATTACATTGGGGACCGTGACAATAATTCGAGAAAGGTTGGCAGATGCTAAAATTCAATTAAAAATTCAATCTATTTAAAATCAGGGACTAGAAAAAATGTTTCGGAAAATCCCAAATCACGCGTGGAGTAAAAATGTAATGATTGGTTATCCCAGCAGGGTCATTTACGAAACACAGAAATTTGCAGTCTTTTGAATTTTGGGATACAAAATTTTCGATTTTTTAGGAAAAACTGGCAAATCTACGGCGGCATAAGGAGAAGCTGGAGGAGAAGATCATGGACCAGTACAAAGCCATGGAAAGCAAGAAGAGCCGAGAACAGGAGAGGACGACACTCGTCAAGAGGGCAGCAAAAGCATTGATACCGAAGGTAGTCCAATAATTACAGATTTTGAAACTTCGAAAATTTGTCGAAAGTTTTTGAAACATAGATCTTCCTATTTGCGAATCTTCAACTAAAGACCATAGTTTTCATTTCTTAATTTTATTTTTAATCATTATTTAACAACAGCAGCCACTTAAACAATTTTATTTTACAAAATCAGTAAATAAACACAAGCGAATAGAAAAATCGAATGAAATGCGAAGGTGCTAGTTAAAATGTATGTTTCAAGAAGCACACACTTTCCCCGAAACCGGTAGGACTCTAATAATAACATCGGATTTTTTTTCTGTAAAGCTTTTCGTTAACAAGACGTTTATCCCTTTTTCTTTATGGTATATTTTTCTTACCTTTTTTTATATTCCTATAGGTGGAAAAAAATTGAACATTAATAGACTTCGATTTAGAAATTCGAAAGTTTCAGGAAATTGCCTAGGTTTGGACAATCTAAAAAATGTTATTGTGATAATCCAGACTTCATTTCTTTTATGTTCTGAAAACCGGATTTTAAATAAAATCGTCAAATTTATCTGAAAGTCCCATTCTCCACAAATTCGGGCACTTTTCGAAACCCTGTTCCCGCCAGATTTTGAAGCATTCTTTTTTTTCAGAAAATTCGTCGTCGGGCAAATTTTCTATTATAAAGCATAAGAACGCAGAACAAAAACTAAAAAATTAAAAATTCCTAAAATTTCGAACTTCCTCAAAATGCTTTTGAAATTGTTAATACATAAATAAAATAAATTAACTTTTAAAAATCCCAGTTTTCAAACAATCTAAATTTTTCCAGAAATCGCGCTCCGACAAGACGTCCACCGGCTCCACCTCCACGGAAGACACGCTCTCTTCAGATGAGCACGGCAGGCTGGGTACGGCTTCGGCGTCAAAACTACAAACTACAACCTCGCAAACCGCGACCCCCGGGTATTCCCTACCCGCGCGCAATCGGCCAAAGTCCCGCGGCGCGCTCGCGGATTTGTTTCGCCGCGACGCGACCGCAACGCCCGGGCCGGATGAGGCGTCGCGTGCCGCGGCCTCGCCAAAATTGGCGCGTTCCGGCTACGCGAGCTGCCCGCAAACGCCGCAACTAAAATTGAGGGGGATTGATCATCGCGTGGTCGTCAATTTGAATGAGGCGGAAAACCGGGAGAACCGGAATAATATACCTTATATCGATTTTCCGGAGTTGGCCCCGTGTCCGTTGCACGGCAGGGCCGGATCGATGCGTATCCGCTCGCCGGAAGCGCAGCGAAAAATTAGTTGGGGCGGCGGTAGGGCGCCGCTGTATGAGGCCTGCTAGGGGGAAATTGGGTGTTTCGTGGAAATTTCATGGTCTTTGATGCCAAAACGCAACATTGATCTTGCTTCGTTCGTTGGCCTGGAAAAGTTATTCGAACTAAATTAATTCATTAAATTCAATTTTAGAACATTTGCTTTATTTTTCGGAAACAAAAAAGCGATTTCAATAAAATGAATTAATTTTTAATTCATTGCATTTTTCATCTTAATTCAGAACACTCGAGAACTAAAGAAAATCCGGCTAGGTGTAAAATAAGTGTTTCGTGGAAACTTCAAATTCCAAAAATTTCGAGTGCAAGAATGCCAGTTTTTTTTTATTTCAAAACTTTCGATAAGGGGAGATGTTTAGGGTTTAGTGGGGAAGTGGCTTATGACAGCAGTAAAAATTATTTAATTAGGAGAGATAATAATTTTAGTGTTTCGGAAACAAGGGTAGCTTCGAAATTTTCTCGAACAATATTTGATGCTCGAAAAGTGCATAACTATTTTTAAATTTTCGTTACATTTTTATACTAGGTTCTCATCGTAACCGAGAAATTTGGTTAAAGGTATTTAAGCATAAGCTTAATCTTTTACAGTCTAGGGGACTACTGGAAAATATGCAAGTTACCTCATGGATTTTTTTAGATTTTCCGTAATTTAGAGGATATGTTCCATAAAAATCAGCTATTCGAAGAGCCTTGAGTTTTTCGAGAGTTTTAGAGTTTTTTTTAGATTCAACATCGCGAATGGCGAAAAAAAAAAATTCGCTTTTATAACGATAATTTAATGGCCAAATTACAGTAGAATAGCAGTTTTGATAGCGATAAAAACAAAAATAAACTGTCAAAAGTTTCAATCAGTTTTGGTTAAAAAATATGTTTTATATGAATTCAAAAACCAAAATCTCTTTGGGTTTTTGATCCGGAGCCGTTAGCATCGTTTAATTCCCATTCCCCCAGGCAGACCTCATACGCCCCTCAAAAAAACATTCAGTTACGCCATGAAATCATTTTCCGTCTTACCATAGTCGATTTTTGTAACAAAAATTGCAAAATACTCTATATTTGGATGCACCCGCACCCGTCTTGTCCATTTCCGTGTCTTGTCCGCGTCTTGTCCATTTTGTATTTTTGTGACGTTTTTAGATGAATTTTGAGCCGTTCGAGTACGGTAGGATACGGTGGACCACAGACTACAAAAGTTAGAAATACAAATTTTCATAGAACTGTATTCTAGAAAATGCATTCGTTATGGTGCCTGAGCGTCACCTTTTACATTTTAGATTTTTGTAGATTGCAAGAAAATGAGAGTTTCCATGACTGTAGGCTACAGAATACAAAAATCCTGAATAACGAAGAAATACGAAAAAAATTATAGACCCACGAAAATTGGGGCCTGAAATTAGAATCAAAGCAAATTAAGATGAGGCAATAAGAACGAAACTACTGATTTCCAAAATAATTTTGTGATTGTAATAGTTTGAAACATCAAATCTTTCAGCAAAAATTTGGAATTTCGAGCGGCTCAAAATTTTCTAAAAATTGAAAATCTCTTTTCTGTATTTTTTTGTATATTTTATATGTTGCACCTACGTATCACACTGCCATCTCGGTGAACCATTTGTTGCGAAAAATTGGGAAATTCGGGTAAAATTTAATTTTTAGTTTGGATCGAATTGAAAGATGTAATTATTCTAAAAGGTTAATAATTTTTTAGCGATCCCTGCGGCAATCTAAAAAATAATATTACTTGAAAATGAATTTCCCAATTTTTGAAAAATTATCGATAGTCTGCTTTCTAGTCAATATCGCGCCATGCATGCCAAGAAATACCTGCAATTTTTTGAAACTCTTTTTTTCATCATAATAAATTTCGAAATTCCGGATCCAGCCTAATTCGGTGCGCTGTAAATAGTAGCTATGTGTATTTTTTGTGTATTTTGTGTATACTGTGTACTGTACATGTTGCATGCATTGTCCGTCACCTCAATTTTGTCGCGGTCGAAATAAATCGTGTCGTCGTCTTGTCCTGTTCTGTACCTCTAGCACTTACTAAAAAATGAACAAATATCAGAATACGCTATGACCCCGAAATAGTCAGGAATTTCTGATGAAATACTGCAACTATTGAAACTTCGCCCATTAGCAAACCTCAAATTTTTTATATATGCATTTTTATCTGAAACATCGAATTTTTACGGAGGCAAAACCAAAAAATTTGACGAAAGGGGGTTTGCTTCCCACATTGTTTTGCCAAATAAAAAATGATGGCAAAAAGGACATGCAAAAACCTAAAACGGGATCAAGGAAATTTTCAGAGGAAGAGCTGGCCCCGACATGCTCATCCAGCGAGGACACTGATCGAATCTCGCCCCGCCTGTTCGAGCAGCCCTTCAGAGGTAACACTTTAGGATTTTTGGGCCTGGAAAACAAGCATGTTGCGTGGAATCTCAAAGGGATAAAAAAGGAGCGCGGGGATAAATTTAATTTTTGCCGTTTTTAACACTACCTTTATTCCAGAAAAAAAGTTTTTACGAAAAAAATGTTTTATAAGAATTAAGGTAGTGAATGCATCTAGGCGGTATAATTTCGCGTCTGTTTGAGCTGCATAAACGCGGAAAATGTCATATTTTCCATTTTTAACGAGTATTAGTGGCATTTGTATCGTACTCGCATTTTGTCGTCGTGTAGCGTAGCGTAATGCGTCGTAACGGCGTAACGTACTGTACCGTATCGTAACGTACTGTACCGTAGCGTAACATACTGTACCGGATCGTAACGTACTGTACCGTATCGTAACATAAAGTGCCGTATCGCAACGTACAGTACCGTATCGTAACGTACAGTACCGCATCATAACGTACTGTGCCGTATCGTAACGTACTGTACCTTATTGTAACGTATCATGGCACAGCGTTCGGGAACGTTCCATAATGTGCTTTTACGCATCGCACGTTAGCGTAGCGTATCGTACCGTTGTATAGCATAAGTACCGTATCGTACAGTTTCGCATCTTATCGTCTGCGTGTCCTCACGTACAGTACCGTACCTTTCAGCGTGTCCCTCAACTTCATCCCCTCCACCGGCCCCTCTACAGCCATTCCTCCGCAATCGTAATGACATCATCGGCGGTTCGGTCCGTCTGTTCCCAGTTGTTCGTCGTCCCCTCGAAGATCCTCGACGTGCCCTCCGCCCCTCAGGATTCAGCCTCCAGAATAATACAGTCACTCCGCAACACTCCGCCCAGCCCTCACCGATCGCCCCGAGAATCAACACGGAATCGCCGATTTCGCATCACCAGCAGGGTATGTCGTGAAATTGTCGTGGTTTGGTCAAAAAAAACAAAAAAGGCTAAAAATGCTGAAAAATATGAAAAATGTTACCCTTTTTAATTTTTTTGTTTTTAATAGTTTATAATAATTTAATATAACAATTTAATAGTAGCGTCAAGGTAAAAATATGTTTTCGTGATTTTTTAAAATAAATACAAATATCAAAAATTTTGAAAAAATATGTTTCGGGAAAGAAACAAGTTCTCAAAAATTATTAGAAATTACTAAGGTTGTAGCTTCCAATAAATATAGTAAAGTCAATACGGATTCACCAATTCTAAAAAAATATATTAAAAAATTCGAGAAATTAAATTACATACTAAAACTTACTAATTTATAAACTAATAAAATTAACTAAAACTACTAGAAATTACTTATATACTTCTGATACTACTGTACGCCCAACTATGTAAAAGACAAGTCAATCTAAAATTTCCGAAAACAAATTACAAAAATATTTACTATTTTTTATATGTATTTTTCCTCGTTATTATCACTGTCAGGTAAAACTAATATCATCTGTGTTTTCTAGTAAATATGTAAAAGAAAAGACATTATTCCGAAAAATATTCTGAACAAATATTTCAAGAAATTCAGTAGCTCGCAATAATTTTGAAATTTTCTAAATCGGAAATCAGCAACTCTACAAAATCAGCATGAAATATTTTGAAAAGATCGTGATTATGCAAAAAAGGAAAATCAACATTATTGCAACAAATAATGTTTCAGGAAATATACTAAATTTGTTTGTTTTGAGTATTATTAGTGGATTCAAGTCGTTTGTGCACAAGTTTCCAAAGGTTTTATGGGACATTAATATAAGAATGCTAATCAATTCTTCTTGCTTTTTCGTGTTTTAGAGTCCATTTCTTAAAATACGTAAAGTTAGAAGGTACATTTTCATTTGGATTTTAAAAGTTTACCAAAAAAGATCATGTTCATTTATTTTAACGCTTAATGAAACATCGAAATGCCTGCCATATGGCGGCCTGACACTTTTTTGGTTTTTAGTGTTTTTAGCGCTTTAACAGATTAGGAAAATTTATTAGGTGCATGATTTTATTCGCCAAGACCTGAGTTGGAAATTACCGTAGATAACAATGATGTCTTGTGTAAATACCGGGGAAACATCGAATTTTTCGCCGAAAAAAGATAGCCCAGAACTTTTGGAAAATAATGTTTCGAGAAAGTAAGAAGCTCCAAATATATTGACAATTATTATTGCAATCCCTAATTCTGAATCGTGTTTAGCCATGCGAAAATAGGCCTCTTGTTGATTAGCTAATCTGATTATCAAACAAATGACTAGCTGATTGACTATAAATCGTATTTAATATAATTTTAATGCTATATTAATTAAAGCATGGTACCTCGTGAATCATCGTGATTTTTGTCAAATCGTGACATGGTATTTCTCAAAAACAAAGTTCCGTACAATTTTAGCATTTGCAAAAATGTTTCCTCTCGATTAATGGCTTTAGAAATGCAGACGGAAAACTTTGAGAATTGATGAAAAACAATGTTTCGGGAAAACCCCAATTTCCAAATTCTTCGGCATTATCAGTGTCTGATTTCATACAAAATTTAATAAGACGGATAAGACAGCTAAACAAACAATCATAAATTTGCATTCGTTACTCAATAATTTAGCTTGATTTTAAACTTCAACGGTTAATTAAGAATTAATCGTATGTATCCATTGATTATTTACAGAACGTGGCGTGGACATCCCCAACGCCGGCCCGGCGCTGCCCCCAAAAATCCCGGTGCGGAATACCGCCAATACACAAAGTCTACGGTAAGGTTTTTTACATTTTTGAATAAAAAAGGAAAATCGATTAAAAATAAGCAAAAATTACAGAAATCAACTAGCATCTTAACCTAAAACCTTAGATTTCGAAGCCCAAGAAATATTTGCTGTTTTTACGTTGCGATTATGTGTTTTATCCCAAAACAATAGCTGGCGTAAAAATCCGACCATAATTATTTAGGGCTCATAAGGTCTGGATCGACAGAATATTCTGTTTTCAAACATTTTCAAAATTCTTCGTTTTTATCCAATTAAATACTAGTTAAATTCTAAATACTAAACAAAAATGAAAATACAAAAATATTGCTATATTTGTTTCAGCGCCCGTCCGCCGCCACCTCCCTATCAATCAAAGCTCAAGGCCAAGCCGCCGCCTCCGTATATTCAGCCGAAAAATACGGTAAGCATCTTAAAGGGTTTTTTGATATAAACCCAAAAGGTTTTCCTAAACTGAAATTTTCGTAAGAAATATAATGTAAAATATAGATCTCCGACGAAAAATCGTCGATTTTTGACGTTTTTCAGACAGTTTTACCACTTTCAATCCAGTTAAATTTTTCTAAAACGCTGGTTAAACATCATCTATTGCGTTAGTAGGTGTATTCTGGAATCATTCCCCCCCCGAGAATGCCAAAGCACCAAGTCGTTTATAAAGCTAGTCTGAAATCGAATAAGCTTCTAATTTTCTGATATTCGATATTTACGACGGCCGTAAAAAAAAAGATAATTAGGCCAAATGTAAAAAGCAAAGATTTTAAATCTCCAAAACATCTTTTTTGCAGTTGCAAAGCGACACGATCAGCGTGAATTCTATGACGTTCTCGCCGCAGATGACGTCGACGCCGAAAAGTGATCGAAGTGGGAGTGGGCGAATTGTCAAGGTATCGTATTTGTCTGTCGCTCTATCTCGATCTCTCTCTCTCTCTCTCTCTCTCTCTTTGTCTCTCTCTCGCTTGCCTTGCTGAATCTTTTTAAACAACCAACCCAAAAGACTTTCAAATCTTTCATTTGAATTTTCCCGAAACTCTTGATTAAAACAAGTGTAACTAGGTTAAGCTAACAATTTAACTGAAACATTTTATTTTTTTGCAGGAAGGCGAGACCCGCACGTTTATTCGCCAAAAAGAGGAGCGGGACCAGAAAGCGATGAGTCTGTACGAGAATGTGTCCCGCGAGGATTTGCGCGATGTTTCGATTACGGTGGGAATCGTCGAAGGCATAATTATCTATTAAAAACATGCTCGCGAATCCGATTTTATTTTAAAAATTATCGACACCAATTTAAAAAATTGAAAACGGCTAATATTTACCACAAAAAACTGCAGCAAATCAGGGTGCCTATGTTCTTAAATTAATGGCCGCCTGGAAACGGGAAAAATTAATTCCCTTCAGAACTTATTAATAGCTAGAACCTCCTGGAACATCATTTTTAGAAGACCACTTGTTGCCCGTGGCGTGAAATGAAAGTGTGTTTTGGCTGTCGGGGGAGTCAGGCAAGGAGAATTCTGTGTAATTTCCAAAGGCAGTGAAGATGTTATTCTTCAAATCAAATCTAAATTTTATCAATTATCAAAATCAATTTGAAAGTGTCGCAAATCAAATTACCGTCCGCCACTTTCCGAAAAAAGAGCGAGAAAATGCCCGGCTTATTCGAGGATGATCATATGCAAAAAAAATAAAAATTTCCCGTTTTCCCATACACTATTTGCCGCTCGAATTGCGATTACATCCGTAAAGATAACTCCAGATTTCGGTTTCAAATCAAATCTAGATTTGTTTTCGGCGGAATCAAATCTCAAATCTTCTTATCTAATCAAATCGGATTTGAGGGGGATTTTACTTGAACAATAACATCTCTAAAATGCGACATTATGCTTGAAACCCCACGTGATTACAGTAAATTCCCTCTGCGAAGAATCACTTCTAACACCTTTTTCTTCATGATCTAGTCAATGCAAAATTAGTGCTTCAAAATTCCCGCAAGTCTAACATTTTTACGGAAAATCAATATTTGTAGGAAAAAGTTTACAAAATTATTGGTGAATTTTGTTTTAAAAATTTTAGATTCTAAATGTTCTAAAGGTTAGGGATAGATAAAATTTTGTTAAATTATTTGTTGCTAAAAATCTAAGATTTCCACTTAAATATGAATGTAAACAAAATCGCGCTTTAGCATAATTTCTAGGAAAATCGTGACAGGCATCACAATGAAGAAGAATTAGCGCTGCTGAAGTCATCTCGAAATTGCAATTAATTGAAACATTTTTCTAGACGAACACCGGCGCCATGCAATCTACCGACATCGCTCCCAAAAATGAAAATGGGAACGAGAGCACCGTGTGGTACGAGTACGGATGCATCTAAATGACGAGATAATTTTAAATTGAAATAGTTTGTAAATTCGTGACAAATATATGCATTTTTTTTGATGTTTCATTCTGTTTTCGGCTTTTAGCGCAAATTCATTTCCAACAATTAGGCGAAACCCACGTCATCCGAGTTTACATCTACTTAAAACATCTTTTTTTCTAAAAAAATGGAACTGAAATTTCTTTTGATCAATTTTAAATTAGCGTTAGCTCGCATAAACTTGGGCTGTATTTTAAGCATCATATTAGTTTTTATTTCTATCTAAAACATTTTTCTAAAAATCAAAAATCACTCCAGTTAATGCTTTTTTGCTAATTTCCGGTTTTTTCTGTGGTTGCCTACCGTATTGTCTGCTCTGCCGTGCAAGGGATTGTGATTTATTTGAAATTTTGATTGTATTGAATTTTTAATGACTGGCGATTTTATTGATTTTGGATTTTATTTTAATTTCATGATTTTTGCCCTTTTTCATTCCCAGAATGCATTTCCCAAAAAATGTCTTTACGTTAATCTCGCTCTCTTTCTCTCGCGCCCTCTCTCTCTCTCTCTCTCTCTCTCTCTCTCTCGCTCTCTTTGTCCTTCTCTCGCCCGAATGCTAAACGTGTACCCTCCTCAAATCAGCCAAACTCACCCCCACTCACATACTTCAAAATAAAGGCCTTATTTTCTTTTTTTTTGTTTTTTTAAACAGTTCCCGTGTAATAAATATGTTTTAAACAACATTACATAAAATTCGCGTTGCAAGGATTCTAATTCACACGCCAAGAACAAGAACTGTTGATTTTCCGTGTTTTGTAATTTGAAAACATTTTCCCCGGAATAATTATGTTTTAAAGAAAGCTAAAAAGCAAAAATAGCAGACTAATAGCAATACCAAGAAGATCCGTGCAGCTTCAAAGACGATAGAAATTCACCGGAAATATCTCCTCCAAAATGGCTGCCCATCATTACTTCTAAAATCATTACTTCTAAAATCATTACTTCTAAAAGTCGTTACTTCTAAAATTCTAAGCGTATTTTTGGGCATAAATATGCCGAAAAAGTGGTAATCCGGCATACCAAATTTTAGAAGTAACGTTTTTAGAAGTAATGATTTTAGAAGTAATGACTTTTAGAAGTAATGATTTTTAAAAGTAATGATTTTAGAAGTAATGACTTTTAGAAGTAATGACTTTTAGAAGTAATGACTTTTAGAAGTAATGATTTTAGAAGTAATGATCGTACCCCCTCCAAAATGACGTACCTTCTCGTCTATTTTTGAAACATTTCCGATGTAATACATCTATTTTAAATAGGATTGCGTAAATTAATAGGAATGCGATCAAAATTCACAGAAAAATTAGTGCCCTACATTCGACATGTGGCCTTATCTTCCTTTTTTGAATTTTTTGAGTATTTTTGTTGGAATCAATATGTTTTAAAGAGAAGTAAAAACCGCAGGCGTAAACTAATGACAATCGACGAATCTCGCTAGCTTCCAAAAACGATGGAAAAGGTTCGGAACCTGTGCTGCGGCTTTATTTACAACTTTTTTATTGTAGCCTTTTTTCAGAAATAAAATGGTTTAAGTAACATCACATTATACGCCTGGTGCAATACGAACAATTTAAAAAGATCTGGACGGGATTAGCCAGCCGATAATTGATTTTCGGGAGTAATTTGAAGTTTGTAAAATGAAAAATTCTAAGGTTTTTTGGAACTTCCGAAAAAACGGTAAAAGCCACTTCTTGGCGTTTTTTGGGTGTTCTCTCCGAAACCAATGTTTCGAAAAACTTCAAAATTGGAAAAATGTCCCTCGATTAATGACTTCGGAAATGAGTGAAAACAATGTTTCGGAAAGATCTCAATCTCTAAAATTATAGAGCAGTATTAATGGATCCCTGCACGAGCATAAAAAATAGTTAGCCGCTAGACCAGCCGTAAACTGATTTTTGGGGGTAATTTTGAGGTTTCAAAAAATGAAAAATTGCTAGGGGTTTTTGGAACTTCAGAAAAACGGCAAAAGCCGCTTCGTGGAGGTTCTGTTTTGCTGGTTCTACGTTTGCTTGGGCTTGGCTTAGGCTTGGCTTAGGCTGAGGCTTAGGTTTATTAGGCTTGGTCTTAGGCTTAGGTAAGACTTGGCTCAGGCCTAGGGTTAGGTTTAGGCTTAGACTTCGCCTAGGATTGGCTACGCTTGGCTAGCTTATCCAGGCTCAGGCTTAGGCTTCGAATGCTAAAAATACAAATTATCGGTATTAAAAAATGAAAAATTACAGGAATTTTCGCCGTTTCCAAAATGATCCCTGCCAGCCTACCCCTGATCTTCGAATAGCTGCGCTTCCTAAAAGTCGCTCACCTGTTTTCTGGAACTCCCCAGAAGTTCAAAAAGGTTCTGCCCCTCCCTCAGGTCCGAAAATTGGTGTTGAATGGGCGCGACGTCTTCTCGACGATGTCGACCCGGATCCCTGATTGAATTATCTACACTTTTTCAGCCCGCCTTTTTTCCACGATGTTCCGATGGACGAAGCACGTCAGCGCTTCGGAAGGGTTTCAGAAAGTCGCTTTCTCACGACGTGACGTCAGAAAGTACCACCTGTCTAGTCTACAGAATTTTGGCTCTTTTCCGTCATCGGGGGAACGAATTTTTGTTATAACTACCCTGTTACGCAGTAGTAAGTATTTTAATGGCATCTTTAGCCAAATTTAACGAAACTTTCAGAGGAAAAACAGTACCCAAAAAAATTACATAAACAAATTAAAAAATTTTTGGTCGAAAAATCCATATTTCTGTTTTTTTTAATAAAAAAAGTAGCCAGGGGTGGCGTTTATAAATAGTAAAAAAAGCAGTTTAGAAACATTTTCCGTATTTATATTAGAAAAACCGGTAAGGGAAACGGTTGGTGTGTTAAAGAAAACGCATTATTTTATACAATGTGCATTACACCGTGCTACGAATCTAAAACATATCTGAAACTTATAATTTAAAGCTGGAAAATTTTTCCCTAAATTAATAGAAAGTTAGGAGAAATATCTAAAAAATCGCAACTTTTCCCCCATTCAAATCCCCGTGTTCTGCCCCCCCCTTGAGGTGTAAACAGGAAAGAAGTGGAATCTGGGAGAGAGCGGGCCATTTTTAGCAGATTCCCCCCGTTTCCCGGTCAAGCCGCCGAATCCGTTTTTTGTCCCCAGAAAGGGGGAGGAAGCGAAGATTTGAATTTTGCGCTTCCGAGGTGTACGCGGAGGAGAGAGAGACTTGAGAGAGAGAGGGAGGAGAGAGAGAGAGAGCAAGGAAAAGATTTGTTCCTTTTTGTGGGCACTCCAGAAATCCTGAAGCGTTTTTCCAATTTTTTTTACATTTCTTTTGACAATAAGTAACAGTACGGCCGAAAGTTCGTACAATATTTTTCATCGTTATATATTTGGTTCCCGAACCAATGAAATGTTTCATTTATTTTTAAGAAGCCGGTATAATGTTTATGTATAATGTTTATTGGTTCGATGCGACGGAAGATCGTGTAAAATACGTTTGGAAAATCGGTGTTTTCAAAAAAGCGGGAGAGAGTGAGGGACCGCGAGAGAGAGAGAGAGAGAGAGAGCCCGAATAAAATATTTGTTCCTTTCTGTGGGCACTTGAGAAAAAGTCCGCCACGTTCGGGGGGGGATTTTTGGTAGAGAAGCTAACTTTATTTTACCGCCATTGCCTGTTAATAATAAACATTGTTTCTCCAACCTTTTTCCTAGTAACAAATTTTAAAAGTAAGACGAAGTTATAGTTATAAAAATTTTTAATTTTTAATTTTGGGCGTTTTTTTGGCAATTGTACATACATTTTTTTACCAAAAGTAAAAATTTGTCGTAAATTGTTATAGTTTTTAAAGTGTTTTTCTAAATAAAAACTCCACAAAATGGTATTACAAGGATTTATACATCGTTATAGGGCCGTACAGGATTACTGTAACCACTTTGGTTCTGGTGTATTAGCGGGGGAGGATGTTCAGCCCCCCCGCTAACAGTCCATTACCGTCGTATTTTTCGCAAAAAATGCGAAAAAGCGTTTTTGAAGTTTGGTGTAAAAATTGCAATGGAATTCTTCTGCTGAAAAAGCTAGCGATAAAAAAGTTTCAGAAAAACATCAGCAGGAGAAGAAGAAAAATGAAGACGCCCGGGGGGGTCGGGTTCGAACTCGTTCATCTTCTCTGTCAAGTAGACGGCGGGAAAGGAAGAGGCTTTTCGAGGGGTCGGGGGTTCGGATTAGGTTGACGGGCCGAGAGGGTCGAGAATCTGCACAAAACCCTTGCCCGCTTGAAACATTTTATTTGATTGGTTTGACTTTAGTTGTTTATTTTATATTTTATTTTATTATTTTATTTGCTTATTTGGTTACGTTAATTTTATTCAGCTTAAAATAATGACAACGCAAATAGCTATAGCTAACAAAATTTAAAGCTGGGGCGCAAAGCTAAGTTTCGACCTTTTCGATGTCTTTATGTATTTTCTTTCGATATTTTACAAAATTTATTTGAACGCGATTCGATAGGGCATCGAAAATTTACGATGAGCTTTAGGTTCGGCCCCAATACCGTGTAATCAAATAGTTATTGCAAAAACATGCAACACGTGTTAAACACTAGTTTAATGCCATAATTTGAATAAGCATTATTCCGAAAACTGGTGTGAATCGACTTTTGACACAAGCTATTGGTATAAGAGCATGAGAAATATAAGAAGAGCGCGACCATGTTTTATTAGTGCAGGTTTTTCGAGCTCGCTTTTATTCTTCAGAAAGTGCTAAATTAATTTTGTGTTTTTCTTGTAACGTCGTAATCTATAACAATTTTCCTCCATTTCAAACAGCACTAAAGCAACCAAAATGTTTGCTTTTTGAGCTAAGGATGATTTATTTTTGAATGCCAATCGCCCGCATGGATTGTTGCGATTTGCCACATAGTAAGGTCCTATTTTTTCGAAACATCAGTTTTCTTAATACCATATGGATTTTCTCGCGCCGCAAC